AGCTCATTCATGAGAGCATGTCTCCAAACGCCATCACATTGGGCATTAGGTTTGAACATGTGACCTTGGGAGGGCACACAGCCATTCCGTCTATAGCAGTGACTTCAAAATACCACACGTAAGGAAGCTTGCTAAAGGAGGGACATGAGTTACACCAACAACTTCAAACTAACTGCATCCTGGCCACCTACTATACATAATTTTTAAAAGATACGTATTACTAAGTTTTGTAGCCACGTATATACAGTGTGTGTGTGTGTGTGTGTGTGTAATTTAGTTTATACCTATATGAGAAGCTCAAACATGTATTCCTAGCCACTGAATTCCTAGCTAGGGAGATGGGGTTGAGTCAGAAAACAGACTGAGTCATTCATTGGTTTGGCCAGAGGCCAACTACCAAAGTACTGCTGAACAGGGATCTTGAGCAGAGATTGAAGCTCCTGCTTTTTATGATCATGTGTTTTTCCAAGTTACAAATTGGGTATGTTGTGTGTACATATGTAGATAGTTTTTTATCCTGAAACTTGGAACATGTCTGTGAACTACTTTAAATTCTCTCTCCAGTGTCATCCTAATGGGAGAAAATGTGTAGAAGGGTCACCTGGGCCCTTGAAGGGAAAGCATCCATGTGACAGTTCTACATCTTCTAAATAGCTGAATGCAAAGAGAGAACGCTGTCGTTAACTAAAGGAACGAAAAGAGCCAGAGAAGGGACCTTTTGGAGTGTGCTCAGGAGGCTGAAGGTGATTATCATCATCTGCATCTGGACCCAGTGTTTCCTGCATCAGAGAGGCAGTGCCTGGACAGACAGTGGGGAAGCATGCCAAGGCCAGGTGTGGGGATGGCCCCTGACCCAGGGATGTTCTTCCTTTCAGCCCTAGTATTGACAAGAGGCTTCCTAGTGAACTGCAGGCCTGCAGAGCTGCAGTTGGCAGCTGAGCTTTGACGACCGGAAGCTCAGTGACTCACTCTCTTTTGCAGGGAGCTCCGGCACAGGGTGACGCCAGCAGCCAGATGGATGGCACACCCAGCTCCCTGGCTTTAGTGCTTCCTTGGTTTATTTTATTTTTTTGAGACAGAGTTTCTCTCTGTCACCCAGGCTGGAGTGCAGTGGCAAAATCTCGGCTCACTGTAACCTCCGCCTCCCGGGTTCAAGAGATTCTCCTGCCTCAGCCTCCTGAGTAGCTGGAATTACAGGTGCCTGCCACCATGCCCAGCTAATTTTTGTATTTTTAGTAGAGATGGGGTTTCACCATGTTGGCCAGGATGGTCTCGAACTCCTGGCCTCAACAGATCCACTCACTTCAGCCTCCCAAAGTGTAGGAATCACTGGTGTAAGCCACCAGGCCCGGCCCCTTGGTGTTTTTAAAAATCTCTCTTGACTTTGTCTTCACCTCACTCCAATGTTCACACTCAGAATCTGGTCATGACTCAGCATCCCCCTGTCACACCCACCTTCTAAATCTCTGCTTGGAATCAATCCTGCAGCCCACCCCTCCACTCACATACCATGGCAGGAGGCAGCAGCTTCTCCCCGGAAGTCTTGGGGATTCTTGACTGTATTCAGGCTGAGCAGCTGGGATAGAGCAGCTTTGTCATATCACCTTACTTGATTGAAGGCTGCAGGGCCTCACCTGGACATACCCGCAGTGTGCCTGTCATTGTTCCCATGCTCCCTTGTGTTCCTAAGTCCCAAGAGACAGTAAACGAGGGCATAAGTTACTGCACTGCTGCCCACCAGCAAGGTCTGCCTGGTTCTGAGCCAGGATTAAAGAAAGCCAGAGCCTGCCACACAGCCACCCACCCCTCCACTTAGACAGCTCTGAGCTTTACCACCTGCACCTTTCCCTGTGTGTCTCGCCTTGATTCAGCCTGGTGCCCATACATAGGAAGAGGCCATAACTGACCCTCTTCTCACTGTGGGTGGACCTGGGAGGAAAAGTTTCCAGAAAAAAGAAGGCACCAGGCCCTAGTCCAGAGCTCAGGCCTCCAGGCCACTGCAGTGACCCAGGCAAGAGACAGGGTGGGCTCAGAGCAAGATGGTACCCATGGACAGGGTGATAAATGGTCAAATTCTGGATGTGTTTTTAAGGCAGACCCCATGGGATTTCCTGATGGATTGCAGGTGAGATATGAAAGAAGGATCATCAAATACAACCTTGAGGTCTCAAGAGTTCTAGTCTTGTTTTCAGTCTTACTTATCTGACTCTCTGATCTTATCTGACCGCATAAGATCTGGTCCTATCCAACAGATAAGACCTAAGATCCAATTCTTATCTGATGAGAATGAGACCTTATCCAATCTTGTCCTGAGTCTCAGACTGACTTCCACTTTTATTTCAGTGGGTTCTGATTCCTAGGATCAGAGGTCCACTCTATGCTCTTTGGAAGTTCTCTTATTGTCATTAAAGCTCCCTCTGCTGCCCTTAGTATTTTTGCACTCACATAAGTGACCTCTGTTTTCCATTCTGTCAATGTAGTTGACACTGGAAGCAGTGTAATAGCATGGCAACAAACATTGCCAACATTTCTTTGAAATAACAAAGGGCAGGTGGCTGTCATTGCCAGCCCTCCGGAGTAAGGCTTTTACAGGGAAAGTGATGGACAGCTTGTAGGCCAGTGTAGACTGTTTTACAACCCAAGGTCTCCATTCTGTCACTGTCTCAGTGAATGAAACTCACTTCCAGAGTAAGGCTTTTACAGGGAAAGTGATGGACAGCTTGTAGGCCAGTGTAGACTGTTTTACAACCCAAGGTCTCCATTCTGTCGCTGTCTCAGTGAATGAAACTCATTTCATGGGGATTCGTTTCTTTGTAAAGAGTAATTGTGTTATGTTGTTCAGTTAGAGATAAGAATCACCCAATGGAGACGGTGGATATATTTAAGCACTTACTATGGGCCAGACCCTATGTGAAGCTCTTTTATGTGAGTTATCTTATTTGATCCTCATCAAGGAGGTGCTGTTATTATTTCCATTTTACAATGAAAAAAATTGAGGTTTAGAGACGTGAAGTGACTTGTACATCATCACCCAAGCATGGTATGGGGTAGGCCTGGCATTCAAACCCATGTCCGTTGGTCACCAGGTTCTGTGCTCTTAACCACGCACCAGTGTTTCTTTCAGTGTGATCATGGGTTGCCTGGGTGGGCTTGGTAAGTGTAGAATCCTGGGTCCCGCTCTCCTGAACAACCCATTGACTCTGACTCTCTGAGACTAGGACCTGGAAATCCAGACCTTAACTCGAATGGCATAAAATATGACAACCGTACTATCTCATTATATCACCTCTAAATGATTGTAAACCATCCTGTGGGTCTGCACATGCACTGATGACAAATCCTCTAAGCCTAAGTCAGTCAAAATTCTAGGATTTCCTAATTAAAAACAAGCAGATGGTTCTTACAATAGTACAATTCCATCCTCTGTCATTTCAAAGTCCATTATTAATGCATCAGTGTAATAGAATGTCAAATGGTCAGCATTCTGCAGAGGACAGTATCCAGACTAGTTCATTTAAGCTGAAAGGATTTTTTTTTTACATAGAATATTAAATGGATAATACAATCATTAGGACAACTGAAGAAACAGTCTTTAGGCTGAATGTCCAGGAATGACTCCCAAAGTCCCACCACAGAGCTGAGCCTCAGCACTGTTGCTCCAGCTGTGCTCAGCAAGCTGCCTGTGAGTGATGGGAGAGTGGAGGGCGAGCATGGAGCCCTGGGTTAGGGAGTAAAGGCCCCCCAGGAGGGCCTCCACAAGGAATGAGTGGGGGAACTTGAAGAAGAGGAGGCCAAGGAAACAGGGGTTTTCAAACAGCCCAGAGTGGCCAGCGTTATTAGATACAGTAAAACGGCCAGTTAAACATGGATTATTATTATTATTATGATGTTGAGATGGAGTCTCTCTCTGTCGCCAGGCAGACACTATCTCAGCTCACGGCAACCTCTGCCTCCTGGGTTCAAGAAATTCTCCTGACTCAGCCTCCTGAGTAACTGGGACCACAGACAGATGCCACCACGCCCAGCTAATTTTTGTATTTTTAGTAGAGATGAGGTTTCGCCATGTTGGCCAGGATGGTCTCGATCTCCTGGTCTCGTCATCCACCTGCCTCTGCCTCCCTAAGCAATGGGATTACAGGCATGAGCCACTGTGTTGGGCCAAACATGGATTAAAAAAAAAAATTGTATTGCTGGTCTTGACACCTGGGTGACTTTTGCTAGGTCAGTCAGTGAGTTTTGCCAGCACTGTTTTGGGGGATGGTAGGGAAAGCAGCCACGTGGGTGGGGCTAAGAGTAAATGGGAAGTGAGCAAACAGACACAACCAGGCCTTTCAGGGAGCCAAGTGGAGATGGGAAGGAAGAGAGGCTGTGGCTGGTGAGCCCTTGGAGCTCAGAGAACTTTTTATTTGTTGTTTCATTTGATTGTTTCTTAGGATGAGAGAAACTTGAGCATAGTTATAGCAGAGCCATTTGAAAGAGAATGAGTCGATGTGTTTTAAAAGTTCTAGAAAGAAAGGGGGCAAGGACTAGAAGAAGGGGTTGACCTGGAACACAAGAGGGACAGCTCCTCCCTGCTGGCTGTCAGAAGGAAGTGACAGTGGGTACAGGTAGGGTCCCAGGAGGAGGTGGGTGGTAGAACCCTAGTCACGGTCCTGATTTTCTCCCTGAAGCTGATTCTCATAAGCTGAGAATCCCCTACTGAGACGGAAGGGCCTGGATCCTGAGCATGAAGCTGGGGATGAGGTGCAGGTTTGGAGCAGCAGCTGCTGCAGACAAGTGACAAGATTGTCAGTCAAGGCCTTGGTCACCTAAATAAAGGAGAACTGGTGAGTTCAAGGTGGGGCAGCTGCCAACAGTGTGTGATGTAGTTTAGCAGCCTCAGGCCAGAGTGCAGAGGTAGGTCCTGGGCTGCTCTGAGACATGGACTTCCGGTTGAGGATGGTGTCGGACTCAGGGCTCAGGTCAGCTGCTCAACGTGATGTGTCCCCTCTTTGTGGCAGGTACTTCAATCAGGAACCCTGAAGCTGTCCCACCTACAGGAGGGAACCTATACTTTCCAGCTGACCGTGACGGACACTGCCGGGCAGAAAAGCTCTGACAACGTGTCAGTGACGGTGCTTCCCACGGCCTACTCCACGGGAGGTGAGAAGAAAGTCCTTCCCTCACTTCCACCTGCTTATGGAAGAGTGGTGTCAGGTTGGCGTTTTGCATTCTGCTCTGCACCTCATGGGCTATTCCATTTTATTTTTGGTTACTGCTGAATGAGAGAGTCTTTGCTAAAAATACAATAACAAAAGCAGGCTCTGTTCTGTTTTAGGCTTTGCTGGTGCTACTGGGTTGGGGTAGAGAAAGTCTTCCAGGGGATGAGAAGAGGTGCTTCTGCTTTTCTTGACTTACTTCATCAAAGACAATTGCCTGGCTATTATAGGAGAGGATTTTGTTTAAAGATGGGTGGTTCATTTGTTGCATCTGTTCCAAGAGTAAAGCTGAGGAGTATAGAAACCAGCTGAACTCATGGAAGAAGAGAGTGGAATGGTGGTTACTGGAGGCTGTGCGAGGAATGGACTGGGAAGGGAGAGATGCAGGTCAAAGGGTACAGAGTGTCACTGAGACTGGAGGAACAGGTTCTGGTGATCTGTTGCACAGCATGGTGACTATAGTTAATGATAATGTATTGTCTGTTTTGAAATTGCTAAACGAGCAGGTTTTAAATGTTGTCACTACAAAAGGATTACAAGTAGAGGAAATGATAGATATGTCAGTTAGCTTGATCTAATCATTCCACAATGTAAACATATCAAAATATCATATGGTGCCCCATAAACATATACTCTTCTCTTTGACAATTAAAAATACATATAAAAACAAGGAAAAGGCATTATCACTGGATTGAAGAAAGACTTGGCTCTTGAGTGTAATTCACAGCTGATATAATTAATCACTTCAGAAGTTTTAGAAAGAAAAAAAGAGTGCAGCTAAGGAGTGCAGTTAAAATTAATTGAAATATGAAAAGGACACATCAATTTGAAAGCACTGCCTACACATTTTCATAGACAGTTAACACAGATGCCTAGACATATTAATAATATAACTTTTTTTTTTTTTTGAGATGGAGTTTTGCTCTTGTTACCCAGGCTGGAGTGCAATGGCATGATCTCGGCTCACCGCAAATTCCGCCTCCTGGGTTCAGGTAATTCTCCTGCCTCAGCCTCCCGAGTAGCTGGGATTACAGGCACACGCCACCATGCCCAGCTAATTTTTTGTCTTTTTAAGTAGAGACAGGGTTTCACGATGTTGACCAGGATGGTCTCTATCTCTTGACCTCGTGATCCACCTGCCTCGGCCTCCCAAAGTGCTGAGGTTACAGGCTTGAGCCACCGTGCCCGGCCCAATAATATAACTTTAAATACATATCATGGTTCTCACGTTGTGTTGCACAGTGTAAAACTTACTTATTTCATCCATCTATGTTTCTTACATTCCAGTTGACTAGGGCAGAGCTTTAGTCAACTGCTGACTCTGGGAGGAAAGGACTCGGGAAGAAGACACAGATACCCTGTCATCCCACAGAAATCAGAAAAGGATTGTTATTGTACAACTGAGGTGCCTGGGAGGGAGGAAGGGACTGCACTGATACAAGCAGATGGCCAACACCTCACCAGCCACTTGTTTGCCCTGGTTTATTTACATAGGCAGCTTTTTTTTTTTAAAGACAGTTTTGCTCTTGTTGCCCAGGCTAGAGTGCAGTGGTAGACTCTACAGTGACCACAGGCCACTATGCCAGCTAATTTTGTATTTTTAGTAGAGACAGGGTTTCACCATGTTGGCCAGGCTGGTCTCGAACTCCTGACCTCAAGTGATCTTCCCGCCTTGGCCTTCCAAAGTGCTTGGATTACAGGCATGAGCCACTGCTCCCGGCCCAACATCTACATTTTAAAGAAAGATTAGGTCATCAAAATTTTAAAAATATCCATTGCATGGAACTTAGCAACACTAAAGATACTGTAGTATTGTAGAGGGAACCCCTCACCACAGACACAATTCACTTTTGGAGAGATGCTAAGATCTTGTACGTTTAAATATCCTATTACTTGGTCATTGTGTATCAGTGTCCGCTGTGTGCAGGGACCTTGCCAGGCCCTGGGGATAGAGTGGTGCACTCGTGGTCCCTGACTTCCTGTAGCTTATAGTCTCACAAAGCTTTGCCGTCACTAGCCATCACTCTGGTAAACTTGCAGTAAGTCTCTGACATTTTTGAATTCTCAGCATTCACAACTCAGAATCTGGATGGTAATTAAGCCAGCAGTGTGCAGAATGAGGATAAAAGAGTTGGCCAGGCTCACACTTGTAATCCCAGCACTTTGGGAGGCCGAGGCAGGTGGATCACGAGGTCAGGAGTTTGAGACCAGACTGGCCAAGATGGTGAAACCCCGTATCTACTAAAAATATAAATGGGCACAGTGGTGGGCACCTGTAATCCCAGCTACTCAGGAAGCTGAGGCAGGAGACTTGCTTGAACCCAGGAGGGGGAGGTTGTATTGAGCTGAGAGCATGCCATTGCACTCCAACCTGGGCGACAAGAGCGAAACTCCATCTAAAAAAAAAAAAAAAAAAAAGAAAAGAAAAGAGTTGGGTCAGGACTGTGCTTTACTTGTACTACATTGAATCTAGCCTTCTGTCAAAAACAGAGATTAGTATGCATACTGGAAATGAAGTTTTCCAAGGAGTTACAGAGATTTTAGAATCCTAAGGACTTGTCAACCTTGATAATTTTCATAGGCTGCATTAAAAACTTGTTTGGCTTATGACTTCATGTCTAGCCAGGGGTTAAGCTCACTGTAAGGAGGGAGGGTAACCAGAAACGGACGGGACAGACACCAAACTCCTGCCCACACCAGCACTGTGAGGTCACCAGTGATAGCGAGTAAACAGTGTCTGTCCAACCCAGCCCGGATTCCGTCAGCCCTGCTGGTTCATTGCAGCTGCACAGGAGAGCCAGCCAGCTACTGAAAACATTGTTGAGCTCCTTTTCTGGACCGGCACACCAGGACTGGTGGAGACAGGGCATTGGCTCCAGCAAAGATGGCTCACTTGTGTGGAGCTGGGCGCCCTCTAGAGGGCTTTCTCCCTGGGTAGAGGACTCGCCTGGGCAGGGCCTTAGCTGCTGACTCTGGGAGGAAAGGACTCAGGAGGAAAACACAGATACCCTGTCATCCCCACAGAAATCAGAAAAGGATAGCTCTTGTACAGCTGAGGTGCCTGGGAGGGAGGAAGGGCCTGCACTGATACGAGCAGATGGCCAGCACCTCACCAGCCACTTGTTTGCCCTGGTTTATCTACTCAGGCAGCTTTCCGGCTCCAGAAGTAAATTGCCAGCTATAAATTTCTGGCCTTTCTCCAAGATGGTAATGAACTGTATTTGAAGTGGCAGAGAGTAATGGGAGAATCACTTTTGATTACTAAAGAGCTGCTTGGAAATAGGTCTTGTGTGTATAACTTTGTATGGAAAATAAAAAAGAATTGGTGTGGTACTAACTGCTGTCTGGAATCACTTACTGGTTATATTGGAATAACAGGCTATGAATTAAAGTTAATAAAACACCACAGATAGACATTGGAAAATAAAGGAAGAAGAGACAAATGTTTCCCTCACCTCCATTGTATGTAATTGGTCTTGCAATGAATAACCCCGATGTCATGGTAACCAAGGGTGACACCAGCTGGGGTAGACCGATGAGCAGGTACCCTGCCTATATGATCATAACTTGGTTCAATTTTTAATAAGTTAACATTTTGAACATTTTTCACGTTTAGAAAAATGATCTATTCAAATAGCAAGCCATCAAGCTCTTCCAACATGATCTAGCTCAGCAGTCTCCAAATAGGATGCCCCTGAGTTGTTCAAGACATTTTTAGGGTAAGAAAGAAGATAGGAGAGTTTATATTTTTGTTGCTTGAGCCTGGGAGATGGAGGCTGCAGTGAGCTGAGATTGTACCACTGCACTTCAGCCTGGGCGACACAGCGAGACTCCGTCTCAAATAAATAAACTGTAGATGCCTGTTCAACAATATGTTAAAGATCAGAATGCATGATCAAAAAAGTTTGGAGACTGCTAATCCAAAAAAGATAGAAAATTTACAAATATGGATCCATCTCCAAAACCACCCAAGGCATAAATAAAACCTTGAGATATCTGGGATTTTGATGCCATGAATTTAAGAAACCTGAGGAGGAACCGTATCCTGTTTGATATCCAGAGTGTCCTCCTGCCTCCCCTCTCTGCTTCTTCCCAGTGGCCGGAGCTGACTCTCCTTCAGGCCCATGTTCTCAGTCATAACTGCAGGCTCTTTGCTTCCTCTTCTTTCGCAGGAGCTTCTACCAGTATTTATTTTCTTTACCCTCTCTTCTTATTTTCTTTACCCTGGATCAGTGTATCTTCAGATTTCCTTACACCCAGACAGACTCCTTTTTCAACCTCTTGATTTAACCTTCAATAAAATATGTGTCCAAGGCCGGGTGCCATGGCTTACACCTGTAATCTCAGCACTTTGGGAGGCCAAGGCAGGAGAATTGCTTGAGTCCAGTAGTTCAAGACAAGCCTGGGCAACATAGTGACACCCCATATCTAAAAAAAAAAAAAAAAATGTGTGTGTGTCCAAGATTTCACTTGGATTTGTGAACTGTGCTTAGCCATTTGGTTTTGAAGGAATATCATCATCTGCCACTCCCTCATGTTCCTGAGAGAATTGTCTAGTCCACTCTGTCCCTGTAAAACTAGAGCTCCTATGACCTGCTTCTAGCCTGATGCCTTAGTCCATGTTGCCAGTACCAGATAGTAACCTGGTTCTCATCCAGCTAAGTCTAATAAACTTGGCTTAATCAAGGGAGAGGGAAATTGCATTTCAGGAAAATATTTGGAGCTCCTGTGAATTGCACTACAAATTAAAAGCTCCTAAGAGCTCTAGAAGGGAGAAAATTTTCTTACTTCATGAAACTAAATTATGCCAGCCTGTAACTAAAGATTTCATTTATTCTCTATAGTAACCAGGGATGTTACAGTAGTCAGCAGTTAGAATTCAATGGTAGAAAGTTAATCTCAGTGAAAAGTATTACTTAGGAAACAAGAATGTAAGACATAGCATATGTAAAATGGTACTTCTGGGCTGGGTACAGTGGCTCATGTCTGTAATCCTAGCACTTTGGGAGGCTGAGGCAGGTGGATTAGTTGAAGTCAGGAGTTTGAGACCAGCCTGGCCATGATGGTGAAACCCCATCTCTCCCAAAAACACAAAAATCAACCCGGTGTGGTAGTATATGTCTGTGGTCCCAGCTATTTCAGAGGCTGAGGCAGGATAATCTCTTGAACCCAGGAGGCAGAGGTTGCAAGGTTGCAGTGAGCCAAGATTGTGCCACTGCACTTCAGCCCAGGCGATAGAGTGAGACCTTGTCTTAAGTAAGTAAATAAATAAATAAAATGGTACCTCTGTTAAAATATAGCCAAGAGCCATCCAGTGGGTGGGATGGTGTTAGGTGGCCTCCTGCGGAGCAGTCGACAGCCAGAGGAAGAGGATCCAACAATGGGGTGTACGGATGAATGCAGAGGGATACAACTGAGGCGGAGGAGCAAGGGTGGAGAGAGACAGGGCTGCTGCTTCGTTGTGCCACCACCTGGGCAAAGCAAGCACGGAGAGCAGCCCTCAGACCAAGAACCCCTGAGGAGCTTGAAGAGTGAAGTCAGGAGGCTCAAAAAGAGCCCTCCAACCTCTCCAGAACCTGTTGCTTAAACTGTTAGATTTGCCTCATTATTTGCATCTCTTCACCCAAATGCATTTTTTTTTTTTTTTTTTTTTTTTGAGATGGAATCTTGCCCTGTGGCCAGGCTGTAGTGCAGTGGTGTGATCTCAGCTCACAGCAACCTTCGCCTCCCAGGTTCCAGCGATTCCCCTGCCTTAGCCTCCTGAGTAGCTGGGACTACAGGCACATGCCACCACGCCTGGATAATTTTTTGTATTTAGTAGAGATGACGTTTTACCATGTTGGCCAGGATGGTCTTGAAACTCCTGACCTTGTGATCTGTCTGCCTCGGCCTCCCAAAGTGCCAGGATTACAGGCGTGAGCCACCATGCCCAGCCCCAAATGCGTTTTATCATCCCCACAGATTCTCCTTTGTCATACCCATCTTGAGAATCTTAATTTTTCCTGCACTCTTGTGACGAGGTTTGTTTACAAACAGGATGTTTGCACCCTTGCTCACGCTACCACTTCTTCTGTGATGATGGCTGCTGCATTGACATCACGCTCGCCTGTGACGGAGTGCGGCAGTGTCCCGACGGGTCTGATGAAGACTTCTGCCAGAATCGTGAGTTGGCCATGTCACACTGCCAGGCAGTGGCCGGAAGGGTTAGAGTCGGGAGGTCTGTGTCCTAAGAATAAAATGCAAATGCAGTGCCCTTCCGCTGCTTGGTTTTAGTTATAACTTTATGTGTAAAAGCTATGCCTTAAATGACAGTTCAATATGTCTCTAGTCTAAGTGCCAAATGTCAAATTTTCAGTATTGCTTATGGTTTTATTTTTTTTCAATTTTCCAGGTTCTTTCTATCCTTAAAATGCTGCATATCATGTGCTTTCTTAAAAACTGAAGTGATCTGATGTTTTGTTTTGATAACTTTTTAAAGAAAATTTATAGTACACCAGAGCGTGGCTAAGTCAGGGCTATAAATCAGCCTTATAATGTCATACACATAGAAATGCCCTGTTAAGAAAGAAGAAAGACTGACGAAAGTGTAATGAAGTATGGATTTGGGGAAAGACGAAGATTCTCAAAACCTTACATTTAAGTTTAGTCTTTGTCCGTTTTTTTTTGTTTGTTTTTGTTTTTTTTTGAGACAGAGTTTTGCTCTCGGTGCCCAGGCTGGAGTGCAATGGCATCTCACCTCACTGCAATCTCCGCTTCCCAGGTTTAAGCAGTTCTCCTGCCTCAGCTTTCCAAGTAGCTGGGATTACAGCCATGCATCACCATGCCCAGCTAATTTTGTATTTTTAGTAGAGACTGGGTTTCTCCACGTTGGTCAGGCTGGTCTTGAACTGCCGACCTCAGGTGATCTGCCCGCCTCAGCCTCCCAAAATGCTGGCATGAGCCGCTATGCCTGGCCTTTTTTTTTTTTTCTTTTTAAGACCAGGTCTCACTCTGTCACCCAGGCTGAATGCAATGGCATGATCATGGCTTACTGCAGCCTCCCCAGGCTTAGGTGTTCCTCCTACCTCAGCCTCCTCAGTAGCTGGGACTGCAGGCCTGTGCCACCATGCCTAGATAATTTGTTATTTTTTGGAAAGATGGGGTTTTGCCATGTTGCCCAGGCTGGTCATAAACTCCTGGGCTCAAGTGATCTGCCTGCCTCTGCCTCCCAAAGTGCTAGGATTACGCGTATTAGCCACCACATGGGGCCCTGTCCATTTCTTTATGTGTAACATTTGGAAAGCTATTAGAAGAAGAAAGAACAGATTACCCATTTGAAAACAAGAGAGAATAGATTTTTATGGTGCTCTGACATGTCTTAGATGAATGGGTATTATGTCCAAATATCCATGATTTTAAATCACCTGAAGATGTAGTGGTTTTAGTAGTAAAGTTTAGAAAAGAAATCCAGCAACTAACAGTAGCTCTTCACACTTCAGTGGGCCTGGACCGCAAGATGGTAACCCACACGGCTGCTAGTCCTGCCCAGCCAAGAACCACAGGGCTGAGTGAAGACACAGGGGACGAATCCTTGGTGGAAAAGTCTCAGAAAGCCACTACTGCAAACAAGACACCTGCATTACCAAACACGGAGAAGAGGAATCATTCCACCTTTTGGGGACCAGAGAGTCAAATCATTCCTCTGATGCCGGGTAAGGACTCAGGGCAGGTTCTCCAATGAAGAACCTTGTTTTCTGTAGCCAAACTTTGGCTCACAATTAAGTTTACGTTTGAAGAGTGTTAAGGAAGTATCTTGAAATAAGAGTTAAAATTAAGAATTTGGCCAAAAAGCGGGAAAAGATCTTGACATCTGCACTAATTTATAAATAGTATTTGTACTTACTAAATACACTCATACATATATACGTACTCCAGAGGTACCAATACATAATTGTAACTACATTACCACTTCGCTTACAGAAAACTAAGTGTTCAATTTTAGGTTGTTTTAAGATGAAACAGTATAACCCTTATGTAAATCCTCTTCACCCAAGCAAGGGAACATTTAAAAAGTCATCTTGAAAGAGATGGATGTGCTAGTAATTCAACCTTATGCTTCCAATTTAACTAAATCTATCATTTGAAAAATAAGGCTAATAAGTTTTTTTGAGACAGGCTCCCTGCAGCCTCAACCTCCCAGACTCACATGATCCTCCCACCTCAGCCTCCTGAGTAGCTGGGACTATAGGCATAGTAGCTGGGACCACCATGCCTGGCTAATTTTTATACTTTTTATAGAGACGAGGTTTTGCCATGTTGCCCAGGCTGGTCTCGAACTCCTGGGCTCAAGCAATCTGCCCACCTCGGTTGACGTCCCAGAGTGCTAGGATTATAGGTATGAGCCATTGCCCTGGTCTAAAACACATTCACATGACTAAAGCATTACAGGATTTAGCCAGATGCAGTGACTCACCAGTAATCCCAGCTACTCTAGAGGCTGAGGCAGAATTGCTTGAGGCCAAGAGTTTGAGACCAGTCTGGGCAACATAATGAGACCTTGTCTCTATAAATAAATAAATAAATAATACAGGATTCCATCCTTTTAAATTTCTTTTTACACACTTATTATTTGCATGATTATGTAACATGAGACAGAATAGAGATTATCACATTTCCAAAAGCTTTTGTAAATGTCTTGTCATACTCTGCATAAGTTATATGGAAATAACCAGACGCAATTTTAGTAAGTTTATTATGAAAAATTTTTGTTCATTATACAAGATATGGAAGATGAAAAATAATTTAAGAAGGAAAGTGAACTTAAAATACCACCTCTTTTGAAAACTACTTTTAATATTTGTTATATTTCCTTCCACTCTTTTGTTTATGTACCTTGTAGATTTTAAGTGCCTCCATAAAGATAGGTCTGCAAAACCTTGCATTCTAGCAGGGCCTTTTCCTTCTCAGTTTTAAGTACACTGCCAAGTGCCTGCTTTTTTTGGTCACCTACTGGTAAAATTGGACACTACATGCAAGCCTTTGGATGTGGTTTTAGTGGGTTTTCTCTGCTTAAGACAGTTTGTATGGAGAAGAGCATCACAACCTAAGAAACAGAGCCAGGGGAGACCAGATGTCTTTGGCAGGACTGCTGAAGGGGTAAAGAGTTTATGGAGAGATCTGTGTTGTCAGAGGCCAGGATGGATGAATTCCTACCATACCACATGAGCATAAACAAATTAGCTGAAGTCAGAGACCAAAGCCCAAGTCTTGGCTCTACCTTTAGAATCTTGAATAAGTCACTTCCTATCTTTGGACCTCAGCTACCTCATTTGTTAATAAGGGACTTCAAGTGAGGAATGATAAATAGGCTGACATTCATACTTTACCCCATCAGCCCTCATCCACGCTATGTGTTGCTCATTGATCCCAGCACTGTCCCATGGGGAGTGTGGACTTAGCTCAGAATCCTTTTGAAAATACTGCCCCGGGCTGGAAGCCATTAACACAGCAAATTAACACAGGAACAGAAAACCAAATACTGCATGTTCTCACTCACACGTGGAAGCCGAATGATGAGACCACATGGACATATGGAGGGGAACAACACACACTGGGGCTTGTCAGAGGGTTGGGGGTGGAAGAAGGGAGAGCATCAGGAAGAATAGCTAATGGCTGCTGGGCTTAATACTTGGGTGATGGGATGATCTCTACAGCAAACCACCATGGCACACGTTTACCTATGTAACAAAACTGCATATCCTACACATGTACCACAGAGCTTAAAAGTTGAAGGGAAAAAAGAAAATAACGCTCCAGGCTACCACCTGCAGTTGATGGGAGTCAGCACCCAATTTCCAATGGATTTATGATCTCTTCTTTTGCTTTTTGATAATCAGCTTTAGGATTTGGTTATGAAGATGTGAAGAAGGGCCTTTCACAGATGCAGGGAGATTAGATGTCCAGTTATTATAACATATTAGAGTTTTTTCTAATTATTAAAATAATGCAGATTTACTTCAGAAAATATAGAAAAATACAAAGAAAGTTAAAAGCATCTAGCAAAACTCACTATTAAAATTTTGTTGCGACCAGGCACGGTGGCTCACACCTGTAATCCCAACACTTTGGGAGGCCAAGGTGGGTGGATCACGAGGTCAGGACCTTGAGACCAGCTGGCTAATATGGTGAAACTCCATCTCTATTAAAAATACAAACATTAGACATGGTGGCATGCGCCTGTAGTCCCAGCTACTCAGGAGGCTGAGGCAGGAGAATCGCTTGAACCCAGGAGGTGGAGGTTGCAGTGAGCCAAGATTGCACCACTGTACTCCAGCCTGGGTGACAGAGTGAGACTCCATCTCAAAAAAAATTTTTGTTGCATTTTCTGCTGGTTACTTTTATTCATACACATATACATATTTACTCATTTTTAACAAAAATAGTGTAATGCTTTTATAAAACTTTTTTCTCACTCGAGCATTTTCATGTATTATTAAATATTCATCAAAAACACAATTTTTAAAGTCCTGGGTGAAGACAGTGGGAAAAAAGCAGAAGTTTAGAAATGTTAGAAAGAGCACTCACATCCTGTGGTTTCTATTCAGATGGCAGCTCTGCTGCCCTCCCCTTCTGCTGCCCTTAAGACCACTAGACTAGAGTCCCCAGCCTCTGATTTCATGTAAGTTAAAGACCCATAAGTAGATTTAAAAGTGCATTATTGTTCATGATACATGCCTGGGCTTTAAGAGGACCATCAGCTAGTACAATAAATATGGATGAGTTAAATCCACTGCTGGCTCCTTCCCTCACAGACATGTGGTGAGGACAAATAAGACTTAGCTCATGGAAGACTCATTAACAAGATACTAAGATTACTACTAACAGTGTAGCATGCAGACTAGTGAGATGTAGTTTTTCACCTATCACATTGACAATGATGAAGACCTATAATAATTAATGTTTCTAAGAATAGAGAGAAACAAGTCTCACACTCTTCTGGTGGCAATGCAATTAGTACGGCCTTCCAGAAGGCAGTTTCTGAAGCCTTAAAACTATGTATATGGTTGGGTGCAGCAGCTCACACCTGTAATCCCAGCACTTTGGAAGGCCAAGGCAGGTGGATTGCTTGAAGCCAGGAGTTCTAGACCAGCCTAGAAACATGGCAAAACCCCATCTCTACAAAGAAATATAGAAAGTAACTGGTCATGGTGGGATACACCTATAGTCCCAGCTACTTGGAAGGTTGAGGTGGGAGAATCGCTTGAGCCTGGGAGGTCAAGGCTGCAGTGAGCTATAATCACACCACCACACTCCAGCCTGGGTTACAGAGTGAAGTCTCATCTCTAAAACAAAACAAAACTCTGTGTGCGTTGACCCAATTCCACTTTTGGGGATTTATTCCTCACAGGTTACTGAGGACAGCATGAAGGTATGTGCAGACATAAGGTTATGCCAGTGAATACCTGCTCAGTACACTCAGAGCCACCAGGCGGGAGGAGCGCAGAGCTGCAGTGTGGCCCGTGTTTGCTCAGCCTGTAAAGGCGCAATGGCTGGATTGTTGTTGGCTGTGGTCACAGCCAAAGGGCCTGTTCTCTGTGTGGTCCAAGTCATTCATTTAACAGTTCCATCCTCTTGTACCCAGCCTAGCCCGAGGAAAGAAGTCTGGTTTCCAGCCCTACAGAGGTCTAGAAAAGCAGTGCTATATCCACATTGACATGGAATCTGATGTTTGGAAACTTGAGAATTCCTGTCTAGCACAGCGGGTCAGCCACATTCTGTCAGGGACTGGACCGAAGCCTGGGCTTAGGAGAGCGCGTGGTTTCTGTATGGAGGCGTGGAGTTCTGCCTGCATGTTCATGGGGTCCCCTGTGAAATATGCCAAAGCCTGTTGTTTCACTTTTCTCTGGTGGTAACTAGAGTGAGCAACTTTGACCTTTCTGTTTTATAGAAAGCATTTTATTCAGACAGGACATTCTTACAAGGGATTTTTTTTAAAGGTTTTTTTTCACCTGCCTTAGATTTTTCTTGGGTATTCCATCTTTTCATTGTGTCAGACTCTCTTTTCCTGCTGAGAAACCATTTGGAAACTGTAAGATCACATGTCTGGAAAGGCGGTTTGAATTTGTTGATGCCTGACACGCAGACCATCCACATGGCGGGTCGTGCTCCAACATGGGGCAGGACAGAACAGATCCCCAAAAGCATGGAGGATCCAGTTCAAGGAAATTTACTTTTTACAAATGAGAATATTCAAGTGGTTATTTCCACAGAATTATTCTAAGAGTAAGTCCTCTTTCGTTGACCTTATTCTTGGGAAGCTGTCATGTAATCACTGTGTTCACCAGGTACCTCTAACCACACCCCATTATTCTAGGACACTTGGATGGTGATCTTGGAAAAGGCGCCCTCTACCTTCTACAGGGTTTTAGTCTGCATTGTTTTGGACACTGTAATGGGGTAACATGATTTTTATTATTTGAAATCTATTGATGGTTTATACAATACATTTTATTTTGTAACCCTTGACCCATGTGTGGGTTATTCCCAAGGAACCACTGGTTTTAAAATGTTTTGTGGTTCATTTTATCTCGATTATTAGTTGAATAACTCCAGCATTCTGATAGGAGTTAAACATTATCCTGTGGGCAAATACAAATATATTCACAAACAGTGATTTTTTTTTTTTATCATCCTGCCTTCACCAATGAAGGGATGATAGGAAAAAGAATGAACTTAGAATTCTTTCAAACTAATTTTAGACACTCTGTAAAGACTCTTCCAAAGCTTGCTAGTACCACAGTGAAGATGAACAAAGAGCATGTCTGTCAACGAGGAGTTTTATGGCTATAGTGAGGCCTAAATGCCATTTCCAGTGTAAGCAAGCATGCAGACCAGATGCCACTGGCTCGCTGCAGTCTCATCCTAGCAGACACCGAACATTTCCTGAAGAGAGCTCCCTCTTACCTGCTTTGCAGTATGATCTACCACTGAGCAACAAGAGACCATGCTGCTGTCTGCGTGAGTTGAGTAGATATAGCAGGTGGTCACAGGAAGCTATGGAGCATGCTGGGATGCAGGCCCACATGGTAGCCACTTCCCCAGTGGGTGTTGCCAGCTTTCTTCCAGATCATACCTGCATGCTCTGTGGCAGCTGGAAATGAAATGGAAACAGCTTCCATCCAGCTGCCAACTCCCTCTGTGAATGTGTTGCCGTGCATGGTAAATAGAATACATTTGGAAGAGAGGAAAAATAATTTCCTAAGACATCAGCTCTTCCGGAGAATCATTACCAAAAATAACTATGTCCAGAAGCAAGTGATGTCATTGTTTTGTTTTGTTCTGATCGCCACACTGCCTAGGGCCTGTGATTGGATGTGTGAAAGCAAAGCGTTTCTCTATGGCATTCCTTTTGCTGAAATCTAGGAAAAATGAATCAGGCAGTCTGGGAAATCATAGTGAATTCCTTTATGAAATGTAAACAGCAGACATTAACATTTCAAATGCCCAGAAGGCAGGGCAAGGTCCCTGGGTAATCCTAGAGTCTGTGACAACTGTGCTTTCTGAAGTCTCCCATGCACACTGCCCACTTCATGATACCTGATCCCTCCCACTTAAAACATCACCATCTTCCTCTCCCGAGGGAATAAGGGCATTTAAGAAAATTGCTCTTTATAAAAAAGAAACAAAACCAAAAACATTTTTAAAAGAAAAAGAAAATGGTCTTGGTCAACTGAAGATTCAGAATGAACTTGCATAGTTTTTTCAGTGAACCAACCTGTGATGTTAGGTCCCTTTTGCAAGTACAGTTAGCCAATTTCTGTACTGCATTTTCAATAGAGCTTTGTTCAAGACCTTCTTAAAAATTAATTAAAAGTGTGTGATTTTGCCTGATTGTGAGTAAATAAGTATAGTGTCGACTTGGTTCTTGAAGTAAAAAACTCATATTTGCTAGCCATGACCTTGAAAGCAGTATGGTTCAATGGAAAACTCCTACTTTGGATCAGTCCTGGGTTCTAATTCCAGCACCACCAGTTACTAGCTACTAGGTAATTAACTTCTCTAAACTTCATTTCCTTACCTATAAGAGGATAATAATCTCTCATAATATGGCTACAAAGATTGCATGAGATATTATATGTAAATATAATTTCTGTCTCCAGTAAATGTTAGTGCCATGTGAATTTTTGCTAGAACCTTCGAGTCCAGTGATATTCACTAAGAAACCAGGGTAAGAGAGCGCCAAGTGTATAAGGCACTTGATTCAAATAAAAAATAAAATAGTGCAATGGTGTTCTCAGTACTGAGTTCTAAGGCATTAGGGTGAGCAAGCTCTCATCTTCATTGGGAAGAAACAGAGTGGGGTGAACATTGTGAATCCAGTGATTGTATGTTCTTTTTTATTGGGTGAAAGACAAACCAGTTAATCCTCTGAAAAAAATCAGGAGTTGGTGAATTTTGTCATTTTGTTTTTATTCCTGGCTCATTATTTTTATTGTTGTTTTTATTTTTATTTATGTATGTATTTGAGATAGAGTCTTGTTCTGTCACCCAGGTTGGAGTGCAGTGGCACTATCTTGGCTTGCTACAACCTCCACCTCCCAAGTTCAAGTGATTCTCCTGCCTCAACATCCCAAGTAGCTGGGATCACAAGCATGTGCCACCACACCCGGCTAAATTTTGTATTTTTAGTAGAGATGGGGTTTCACCATGTTGGCCAGGCTGGTCTTGAACTCCTAACCTCAAGTGGTCCACCCGCCTCAGCCTCCCAAAGTGCTGGGATTACAGGTGTGAGCCACTGTTTCCAGCCCCTGGCTCATTATTTTTTAAAGTAGGACATGAGTGTCCAATCAGGTGATCTTCCTACTTCCAAATTTATTATTGAAGAGGAAGATAAAGCAGAATGTATAGAAGTTCCATTGCAAGCTAACCCAGCAGTATGGCACAGGGAGGAAGAAAGGAATGAAGGGAGAAGTAAAATTACAAAAATTAGCCAGGCATAGTGGCACACACCTGTGGTCCCAGCTACTCAGGAGAACTGATTTAGCCCAGGAGGTCAAGGCTGCACTGATCGTGCACTGATCGATCACTCCTTGATCGTGCCACTGCACTCTGGGCAACACAGACCCTGTCTCAAAAGTAAATAGGCCAGGTGTGGTGGATCACTTGAGGTCAAGAGTTCAAGACCAATCTGGCCAACATGATGAAACCCCATCTCTACTAAAAATACAAAAATTAGCTGGGCACCTGTAATCCTAGCTACTTGGGTGGCTGAGGCAGGAGAATCGCTTGAACCCAGGAGTTGGAGGTTGCAGTGAGCCAAGATCGTGTCACTGCACTCCAACTTGGGCAACAGAGAGAAACTCTGTCTTAAAAAAAAAAAGTTAGTAATTTTTCCTTCAACATTATAACTCAATAGTTAAATAATATATCATTAAATTAGAAGTACTAGTCTCTACCAAGAAACCAGTTTGCATCCCAGCCCTGTGACCCACTTACTACTTGTGTGAACCTGGGTAGGAACCTGATCCTGAGCCTAACTAGAAAAAATTGAGCTATTTATACCTGCCATCTAGAGTTGTGGTGAGAAAGAAAGAGCATGTGTAAATGCCTTATATATATTCCTTGTTTATTCTTCAAAGAAAAACCATTCTGGTTTCTGCTTTTCATGGAATGATGTCCAGAGACTCCCTGTCTCTCTTCTAGCCTGAGATCTCCCTTCCTTCTCCAAGAGGTGGTGGTAGTTCCGGTGCAGGGTGTCTTCCCTTTCTCTGTCAGTGGTTTCGTATTAGTTGCATACTCTGCTTCATTAAATGGGTCACTTTGTTTACTACTTAACTATCAAACATAGGCCTTTGTTTATTAGAGAAATAATCAGTTCTTCTCCAAGTCCATTTTAAAAAAAATAAGGCTGCCGGGTGTGGTGGCTCAAGCCTGTGATCCCAGTCCTTTGGGAGACCAAGGCAGGCAGATCACGAGGTCAAGAGATTGAGACCATCCTGACCAATGTAGTGAAACCTTGTCTCTACTAAAATACAAAAATTAGCTGGGCATGGTGGCACGCACCTGTAGTCCCAGTTATTTGGGAGGCTGAGGCAGGAGAATTGCTTAAAGCTGGGAGGCGGAGGTTGCAGTGAGCTGAGATCGCGCCACTGCACTCCAGCTTGGTGCCTGGCGAGAAAACAAGACTGTCTCAAAAAACAAAAACAAAAAGGCTGTATTTTCACATCTATTTCCTGAAGTTTCTGATGCATATACCTTCATTATATGTTCTCTTTTCTGCAGATAGAAGTTCATCAGGGAAGAACAGAAAAGAGGAAAATTATATTTTTGAGTCAAAGGCCAGTGGAAGAGGAGGGGAACACCCAGCTCCAGAAACAGGTAAATGTCCACCTTGGAAACCCTTTGCAGAGTGTAGTCTTCTCAGAACTGCAAGTCCTCTGGCTGAGTATATTCCATGAAGCCATGAGAGTTCATGACAGGAGCAGTCCATCAGTGGACCAGAAGAACTGTCTCTTCGTTGCCTATATTACACTGCATATTGGGGCTCATGATAGTAACCTGCCGTCTTTGGACCTCAGTTGCTTTTTCTACACACCCTTCCAGGTGTGACACCTGTGGAAAATGTCATACTTGTGGCATGGTGGGAGAACACAAGCTTTAGAGTCAGATGCCACAATTCAAATCCTTGCTCAAGGCTGGGCACAGTGGCTCACACCTGTAATCCCAGTACTTTGAGAGGCCAAGGCAGAAGGATTGTTTGAGCTCAGGAGTTCAAGACCGGCCTGGGCAACATGGCAAAATCCCATCTCCACAAAAAATTATAAAAGTTAGAAAGTTGTGGTGAAACTTGCCTGTAGTCCCAGTATTCAGGAAGCTGAGGTGGGGGGATCACTTGAGCCTGGGAGGTCAAGGCTGCAGTGAGATGACACTGTGCCACTGTACTCCAGCCTGGGTGACAGAGTAAGATCCTGTCTCAAAAAAAAAAAAAATTCTCACTTAACCACTAAACTCTATGACCTTGAGCAGGCTATCGTATCTCTCTGGATCTCAGTTTCCGCATTAGTAAGATGAGGATAGTAACAATACCTGCCTCATAGGGTTGCTAAGAAGACTATATGGGATAATTAATCTAAAGCATTTAATGCATTGCGTGGTTCATATCATTAGCCAAATACAGAAACGATGGCAGTTATTACTGAGTTACTTATGGTGAAAGAAGAGTAAAGGTCTTAGAGAACCTGGTTCTCTTTCCAAGTGTTCTAGTGACAATGAAGACAATAGGAATGAGAGAGGGGTGTAGGAAGTAGAATATTTACTCAATGGAAGAAGAATACAATAATTTCATTAATTTTGGTTGATTTTAACTAGAAAGACATTGGACGGAGTCCTGTAGAAAGGCAGGATTTAGTCTTAAATGCCACAAACTAGTAAAAGAAGCTTTAGGATAAGCTTAAGTTATAAACACTGAGAAAACTTTATTTTTACCCTATTATTTGTAATATCAGGACAATATTAAAATATAAGAATAATCCAGATGTCAAGTACCTCACCCCTTGGTCTGCTGACCTCCTGGACTTAGCCTGTCCTGAGATACTTAAATAAAAGGAGCCCAGGCCGGGCGCGGTGGCTCAAGCCTGTAATCCCAGCACTTTGGGAGGCCGAGGCGGGTGGATCACAAGGTCAAGAGATCAAGACCATCCTGGTCAACAAGGTGAAACCCCGTCTCTACTAAAAATACAAAAATTAGCTGGGCATGGTGGTGCGTGCCTGTAGTCCCAGCTACTCGGGAGGCTGAGGCAGGAGAATTGCTTGAACCTAGAAGGTAGAGGTTGTGGTGAGCCGAGATTGTGCCATTGCACTCCAGTCTGGGTAATGAGAGCAAAACTCCGTCTCAAAAAAAAAAAAAAAACAGAGCCCTGTGCCCTGTGCCCTATCAAGGGAAGAGGGAAACCAGCCTACCTCTTGCCTCCCCACCCATATGTACCCAGAGAGTCTCAGCTCTAATTGGCTGGTGCCCATTCTGGATGTTATGTATTTTATTTTTTACTTTTTTAAATTTTGTTTTATTTTGTTTTTGAGACAGATCCTCGCTCTCTTGTCCAGGCTGGAGTGCAGTGGTGCCATCTCAGCTCACTGCAGCCTCTGCCTCCTGGGTTCAAACAATTCCCCTGCCTCAGCCTCCCAAGTAGCTGGGAGTACAGGTGCACGCCACGACACTCGGCTAATTTTTGTATTTTTAGTAGAGATGGGGCTCCCCGTGTTGGCCAGACTGGTCTTGAACTCCTGACCTCAAGTGATCTGCCCGCCTCAGCCTCCCATAGTGCTGGCATTATAGGTGTGAGCCACCACGCCTAGCCTGTTACATATTTTAAATGTCACTTCCATTCATATGGACAGAATACAAAATTCATCACCCTAGCTGGTTCCTGAGAATATCATCGTGTGTTTTAGAAGGAGCTAGATCTCAAATCTCAAATTATCCAAACTAAGCCAACTAAATATTAAAAATCAAGAACAATTTTCAATATTCTAGCAAGTACTTTTGGGGGATTTCATTTTCCTTGTCATAAAAGCATTAAACAGGAATCAGATCAGACAGTTCCCCAGCCTCATATCTGACTAAGCAAATAGAATATTTTCCCAGATCATGTCTGTTTCATTCTTTTTTTGTTTGTTTGTTTGTTTTGGGAGGAAGGGAGGGAAGGAGGAAGGTAGGGAAAAAGGAAGGGATGAAGGAAGGAAGGAAGGAAGGGAGGAAGGGGGGGAGGGAGGGAGGGAGGGAGGGAGGGAGGGAGGGAAGGGAAGGGAAGGGAAGGGAAGGAAGGAAATCAAGCAATGAGAGAGACATTGCCGACCTGGATCTAGAGGTTTACAAATTGATTTTTTTTTTTTTTTTTTTTTTTGAGAGAAGGAAAGAAAAAAAAATGAGCAAAGGAGAGGAAGAAAGAGGGAGAGTGAATGGAAATATTGCTTTATTCTGAAAAAAAAATGGGTATTAATAATGGCCAATCAATGTTTCATTTAAACCTATGAGTAGGTGTGATGTGGTATTGACAAGAATGTATATTTTGTGTATTTGAAGTGGAGAGCTCTATAAATATTTGTTAAGTTTACTTGTTCCGGATCTGAGTTCGAGTCCTTGATATCCTTATTAATTTTCTGTCTCACTGTGTCTACGTCTCTATGTCTCTGGGTGTTAGGATCGTTAGCTCTTGTTGTTGCATTGATCCTTTTACCACTATATCTTTATTGCTTTAAAATCTATTTTATCCGAAACGAGAATTGCAACTCCTGCTTTTTATTTATTTATTTATTTATTTATTTTTGCTCTCCATTTGGTTGGTAAATCTTTCTCCATCCCTTTGTTTTGAGTCTTTGTGTATCCTTGCATGTGAAACAGGTCTGGATGTAACATGCCATTGGGTTTTGGCTGTGTCTTTTGATGGGGGGATTTAGTCGATTTAAATTTAGGGTTACTGCCATTTGATGTTAACTGGCTGTTTTATCCATTCATTGATGTAAATTCTTCTTTATGTTGGTGCTCTTTACTTTTTGGTATATTTTTAGAAAGGCTAATACTGGTTGTTTCTTTCTGTGTGTAATGCTTCTTTCAGAAGCTCTTGTAAAGCAGGCCTGGTGGTAATAAAATCTCTGAGTACTTGCTTGTTCATAAAAGATTTTCTTTTTCCTTCAGTTGTGAAGCTTAGTTTGGCTGGATATGAAATTCTGGGCTGAAGGTTCTGTTCTTTGAGGATGTTGAATATTGGCCCCCACTCTCTTCTGGCTTGTAGAGTTTCTGCTGAGAGATCTGCTGTAAGTCTGATAGGCTTGCCTTTGTGGGTAACCTGACCTTTCTCTCTGGCTGCCCTTAGTATTTTCTCCTTTGTTTCAACCCTGGTGAATCTAACGATTATGTGCCTTGGGGTTGCTCTTCTTGAGGAATATCTTTGTGGTGTCCTCTGTATTACCTGGGGTTGAATATTGACCTGCTTTGCTAGTTTAGGAAAATTTTCCTGAATAATATCCTGAAGGGTATTTTTCAGCTTGGATTCATTCTCTCCGTCGCATTTAGGTACACCTATCAAACGTAAATTTGGTCTTTTCACATAGTCCCACATTTCTTGGAGACTTTGCTCAATCCTTTTTAACCTTTTTTCTCTACTCTTGTCTTCTTGTTTTATTTCATTAAGTTTGACTTTGACCTCTGATATCCTTTCTTCTGCTTGAAAAATTCAAGTGTTTAAACCTTTGCATACTTCTCGGAGTTCCTGTATTATATTCTTCAGTTCCATTAATTCACTTATATTCCTCTCTAAGTTGTCTATTCTCAATAGGATTTCATCAAACCTTTTTTCAAAGTTCTTAGTTTCTTTACATTGGGCTACAACATGTTCTTTTAACTCACAGAAATTTCTTATTATCCATTCCCTGAAGCGTGATTCTGTTATTGGGATGCACTCATTCTCCATCAAGCCTTGTTCCATTGTTGATGTGGAACTGTGATCATCTTTAGAGGGAGAGGCGTTCTGATTTTGAGTATTCTCAGCTTTTTTATGCTGGTTTCTTCCCATCATTGTAAATTTATCCTCCTGTCATCTTTGAAATTACCAACTTTCAGATTAGGTCTCTTGAGTGGACGTCCAAGTTGTTAGTTCCCAGGGCCAGAACAGCAGCGTTAAGACTGATGGTGCTTTTCTGCCCAGGATTCTCCTGTCTGGCTTCCTTCTTGTGTCCGTAATGGGCGACTCTGCCTTCCCAGGGCTCCAAACCTCTGTCAGAAGGGAAACCGGTCTCGTTTACTCTGCTGCCGCACCCAGGTGCCATCACAGCCGCTGCGCCGACCTCAGGAGTTGTGCTGGGGACCCATGTCGGTCCTCCAAACCTCGGTCAGAAGGGGAGCCAGCCCTGTTTACTCTGCTCCGAGAGCTGCCGCGCCAAGGTGCCGGCGAAACCGCTGCGCTGGCCACAAGAGTCGCGCTGGCAACCCGTGTGACTCCTCCACTGGGGATCTTCTGCTCCGTGAGCGACCAGAATTTGTCTGAAAGTGGGGCGTCCTCTAGTTCTCTGCACTTTCACTGAGAGCTGCAATCCCTAGATGTTAGCGATTGGCCATCTTGGATTGTTCTTTCCTGTTTGTTTTTGAGGCAGAGTTTTGCTCATTACCCAGGCTGGAGTGCAATGGCGCGATCTCGGCTCACGGCAACCTCCGCCTCCTGGGTTCAAGCAATTCTCCTGTCTCAGCCTCCTAAGTAGCTGGGATTACAGGCATGCACCACCATGCCCAGCTAATTTTTTGTATTTTTAGTAGAGACGGAGTTTCACCATGTTGATCAGGATGGTCTCGATCTCTTGACCTCGAGATCCACCCGCCTCAGCCTCCCAAAGTGCTGGGATTACAGGCTTGAGCCATCGCGCCTGACCGTCTGTTTCATTCTTACCGTAGTTAAACCTGAGCCCCGGCATTGGAATCAGCATCTTCAGCCACGGCTTCCTAACCCTTTATCCTAAATGCTGGTATTCATCTTTAAGCAAGTCCCCTGGTCTGGGGCTGGGTGTTGCAGTCCAATTTGTGAGAAATGATTTCTTTCTGGGGTTTCCACGGGTCTTCACCAAAGTCTCTTTTTTTGTCCTGTTCCTTTGTAACATATGCAACTCATGTGGCTAGTACAGGAAGATGGAGGGAGAATGACACCTTGGGGCCACTCACTTAGCCTTGTCAGAACTGCTTTCATCAGGTGGAGACTAGGAGGCAGTAGTAGCTACTGAGGCCTCAAATTGCTGGCATGGAGAGACCAGGCAGCGATCTTGACACCTCCAGAGCTGCTGTGTGTGGAATGAGAGCTGTAGAATCCAATTCCAGGCCATAGGTTTATCACCAATTTATAACTTTCATGATTCTGTGAAGGAATACAGGCCTCTTCCAAAACTTTGTTTGATACCTACCAGTCTCTAAAGCATCTTTCCCATCCCCTCCTTTGGCACCCAGACACTTCTAAACTGTTCTTGAGAATCTTGTCCAGGATTTACCTGCGATTCTAAAAATATACCAGAGGTTGAAGTCCCATGAGTGTCATCAGTTCCAGGTCCTCTTGTCTTTAAGAGGCGGCCAACTATACCTGGGACCAGTTTTAAGCCCAGAAAATCAAGACTGTCTGGAGTGAACTTTCTCAGCTACCTGCCCCCGAAATGTAAAACCTCATCTGGTTGCATTCACCCATCTTCCTCTCCTCCAGTACTAAAGGAAGAGTGGTCCCCTCTTTCTAAGGTCTCTCTCCCTGATCTTGATACAGCTCCTGATTTCCTCAGGTACATTTCTCCATCATCTCCCAGCTCTCCCACACTTTTAATGTTTCTCTGCTGACTCATTCCCCTGACTGTGATCACATTTAGATCTCTTAATATGTAAAGAAACAAAGTAGCATCCCTCCATCTTCTGTCCTCCCATAAATGAATTACCAGCTGCTAAATCCAGTGGGCTCTCCAGGCTTCACCTTACTTGACCTCTCATTAGTATTTGATTCCGCTGAGCACTTTCTTCCTGGACTAGTCTCTCTCCTCAAAACCTCTACTCACTAAAGCAGTTGTCCTCCTATTTCTCTGACTGGTCTTTTTCTGTTCTTTTTGGTCCTCTTCTTTTGTCTGCCTTCTAAATGTTGGTTCCCAGGACCTTGTTCCTGGCTCTCCTTTCTCTCCAGCTGTCCTACCCACTTTTGTAACTGCAGCTACCACCTTTATGCTAAAGGCTCCCACATATTTAGGCCCAGATAATCCAAGAACCTAAGAGAAAATTTCACCTGATCACCTCCAGGCATCTCAATCTGAAAATGTCAAAAAATAAACTTACCTGCTTCAACCACCCAACAATTTCTAGCATACATCAAAACCCTCAAGCAAAAATCCTATAGACCAGATAGATACAACACCTATTTTATCTTAATACATCTGTACTTCACATATAATTCTATCATAGTAACTATAACACTGTGTTGCATTTTTTCCCATTGAAATGTTTATCCACCCAGACTTATTCAAAAACTGTCTCATTTACATTTTGCAAAAGGAGAGTACCTTAGTGCCATTATGGTTAAAACCACAGGCTCTGGGGCTGTCCTGTCTGAGGTTATATACTAGCTCTATGACTCACAGTCTTAGACAAGCCACTTCAGTGTTTATTTTTATTTGTTTGGTTGGTTTTAGACAGGGTTTTACTCTGTCACCCAGGCTGGAATACAGTTTAAGAACTCACCGAAGCCTCTACCTCCCGAGGATCACTCAAGTGATCCTCCTGCCTTAGCCTCCCGAAGCATTGGGATTATAGATGTGAGCCACTGTGCCCAGCCTCACTTCAGTCTCTTTCTGAGACAGGCTCTTACTCTATCACCCAGGCTGGAGTGCAGTAGCCTCATCATGGCTCATTGCAGCGTCAACTTTCTGAGTTCTCCTACCTCAGCCTCCCAAGTAGCTGGGACTGCAGGTGCATACCATAACCAGCTAATTTTTTTTTATAGAGATGAGGTCTCGCCATGTTGCCCAGGCTGGTCTCGAACTCCTGGGATCAAGCAATTCGTCCACCTTTGCCTCCCAAAGTGCTGGTATCATAGGCCTGAGCCACCATGCCTGGCTCTTACTTCATTCTTGATGGCTTAGCGCCCTCATTTGTAAAATGGGAATAATAGAAGTATCAACTTATGTGGTTGTGAGAAGTCGATGATTTAAGCTATAAAGCTGGTACTCTTGGCATTAGCTTATCTTTGGGGGGTATTTATTTACAAATAAAAGGATTATCAGCACTTAGCTCAGTGTCTGGCACATGGAAGAAGGCTTTTAATTAATGCAGACTGAATGAATAAATGAGAGGAAATGTTATAGAATAAGTCTACACAAGGGAGATGTTTCTCCTCTAGTTCCACCAGTTGGCAAGATCCCTACAGCTAAAAATAGTTCCACCATATCATCTCCAGACCTAGCCTGGCTGCAGAGTAGATGAGACTAAAAATAGAGCGTGCTAAGCTTGATAAAAAAGACTGATCTTGGCACTCCCTGTCCCTCCCAGACTTCTGCAAGCCTTGCAACTTCTAGTCTGGTGTCTAGGATCCGCCTCACAGGAAAAACTAAAGTGTGTTCCTTTAATGGCCAAAATCACACCAGCATATTTGGAAGTTAGTTTTCAACAAAGGTTCTACTGACTGAGTCAGTTCCCTGGATTTAGAAAAGGAAATAAATTTCTTAAGCCCTAACCAGAAAAAGAAATCAGGAGTTCATTCATACTTAATTGGAGAATGATCATGTATGAATTCATATAGTCTATGACTACAGCAAAAAATTTCCCTGTGATCAGAATGCCTATTTCAGTTAGATCTAAGAGTGATCACATGGTAATGTGTGTACCCATTGATGCCAAGTGAGTTTTATAGGAAGCTGGTACAGAATTTGGTCTTAAAGAAGTCTGGGTTTAGGACCTGGACCTACAACTTACAACCTCCTAGGCAAATTACTTAACCTCGCTACACCTTAACCTGCAAAATGGTGGTAATATACTAATACCAATTTGAGTTGTTTGGATTAAATAAAATAGTGCATGCAAATCACTTACCATATAGTGACCAGTAGCTGTCACTGTGACTAATCACTGGCTTGCCCTCTTCATGTCTAACCTTCTCACAGGTGCAGTGCTACCCCTGGCACTGGGTTTGGCCATCACTGCTCTGCTGCTTCTCATGGTTGCGTGCCGACTACGACTGGTGAAACAGAAACTTAAAAAAGCTCGTCCCATTACATCTGAGGAATCGGACTACCTCATAAATGGGATGTATCTATAGTAATGTAATTTAAAGAGCTTGGGGCATGACATGTTTTGTTTATAATCTATACTTCTATTAAGTTCTAGATATTTACAGTCTCTTTTGTTTTTAATTGGGCCAGGAAATTCTCCAAATCCCAAATCTTTGTCTTTATTATTTATTGTAAAAAAAATTTTCCTTAGAAAGTCTCTTGGATCTGGCTGATGACTAACAGCTCAGGATTGTAGCTCCCAGTGAAAGCTCAGAGAACGAGAGGATGCCACACTTTCAGATGAATTTTCATAGCTCACAGACCAGCAGATTTCTAGTGGAGGAGCCCCACGGGTCACCAGTGTGACTCTTGTGGCCAGCGCAGCGGTTTTGCTGGCACCTTGGCACAGCAGCTCTTCATGCAGAGTAAATGGGACTGGTTCCCTTACTGACTGGTGTTTGGAGCTCCGGGAAGGCAGAGCCGCTTGTTGCGGACTCAAGAAGAAAGCCAGACCAGAGATTCCCGGGCAGAAGAGCACCATCAGTCTTATTGCTGCTATTTTGGCCGGCGCAGTGGGTTGCTTGAATCCCAGCGCTGGGAATCAATAAATTGGACGTCGACTCAGAAACCTAATTAGAAAGGTGGTAATTGTAAAGATGACAGATGGATAAATTTATAATAAAGGGAAAAAACCAGCCTAAGAAGGCCGAGCATACCCAAAATCAGAACCCCTCTCCCTCTACAGGGGATTGCAGTTCCTCATCAGCAACGGAACAAGCCCTGATGGAAAAGGACTGTGTTCCATTATCTGAAGTAGGCTTCAGAAGGTGGATGATAAGAAACTTCTGGGAATTAAAAGAACTTGTTCTAACCCAGTGTAAAGAAAATAAGAACTTTGAAAAAAGGTTTGACAAAATGCTGAAAAGAATAGACAATATAGAGAGGAATATAAATGAACTAACGGAGTTGAAAAACACAACACGAGAACTTAGTGAAATATACACAAGTTTAAATAGCAGAATGGATCAAGCAGAAGAAAGGATATCAGAGGTCGAAGACCAACTTAATGAAATAAAATGACAAGACAAGAATAGAGAAAAAAGGATGAAAAGGAATGAGCAAAGTCTTCAAGAAATATGGGACTATGTGAAAAGACCCAATCTACGTTTGATTGGTGTATCTGAATGTGATGGAGAGAATGAATCCAAGCTGGAAAATACTTTTCAGGATATTATCCAGGAAAATTTTCCCAATCTAGCAAAGCAGGACACTATTCAACCCCAGGTAATACAGAGAACACCACAAAGATATTCCTCAAGAAGAGCAACCCCAAGGCACATAATCGTTAGATTCACCAGGATCGAAACGAAGGAGAAAATACTAAGGGCAGCCAGAGAGAAAGGCCAGGTTACCCATAAAGGGAAGCCTATTAGACTTACAGCAGATCTCTCAGCGGAAACCCTACAAGCCAGAAGAGATTTGGGGCCAATATTCAACATACTTAAAGAACAGAACTTTCAGCCTAGAATCTCATATCCTGCCAAACTAAGCTTCACAACTGAAGGAAAAATAAAATCTTTTATGAACAAGCAAGTAGTCAGAGATTTTATTACCACCAGGCCTGCTTTAGAACTTCTGAAAGAAGCATTATACATAGAAAGGAACAACCAGTATGAGCCTTTCTAAAAATATACCAAAAAGTAAAGAACATCAACATAAAGAAGAATTTACATCAACGAATGGATAAAACAGCCAGTTAACATCAAATGGCAGTAACCCTAAATTTAAATCGACTAAATCCCCCAATCACAAGATACAGCCAAAACTTAACGGTATATCCAAAGATACACAAAGACTCAAAACAAAGGGTTGGAGAAAAATTTACCAACCAAATGGAGAGCAAAAATAAATAAATAAACAAAAGCAGGAGTTGCAGTTCTCACATTTGATAAAATAGATTTCAAAGCAACAAAGATACAGTGGTAAAAGGATCAATGCAACAATAAGAGATCTTAATACCCAGATACATAAGACCCATAACGAGATTTAGACTCAACGAGACAGAAAATTAATAAGGATATCCAGGACTTCAACTCAGATCCGGAACAAGTAAACCCAATAAATATTTATAGAGTTCTCCATTTTAAATACACAAAATATTGACCGGCCATTATTAATACCCATTTTTAGAATGCAGCAATATTCCTGTTCTCTCTCCCTCTTTTTCTTCCTCTTTCTTCCTCTCCTTCTCTCCTTTTTTTACTTTCCAACATCGTAGTTCCTCACCTCTACTCAATACATTCCTCTGAACACCTGATTCCTTGTGATTCTCCCATCCCACTGAAAGCTCCAATCCATAAATATAAATATAAAAAATAAAAAAATAAAGTCCTTAAATTAAAAAAAAAAGTCATAAAATATTTTGAAATTTAGAGAGGAATTTATGATTAAAGATTTCTAAAAATATAATTCTGATTTATGTAAGCTGTCCCCGAAAACAGAAATTTGTACTTAGCTGAGACAGAAAATTCAGCATCTCAGGAGTTGGTTTTAGGATGACTGTGTTAATCCTTTACTTTTTAGAAGCCAACTGTTGGCCCTTCCAATGCTGGACAGCTTTAGGCACAGCTCCCCCTTGTTCTGTGGCCCTTTCTTTCCTCCTTTAAGCTCCAATATTCTTCTTTTCCCCCCTCTAAACCCATTTCTGAGAGTGGATCTCAAGCAAGTCCATGCCTTCAATCAGATGTTACTTATAGCGGATAAACCTAAATTATAAACCTTATGTACAGGTCAGTGAGCCTCGGGGAAGATGAGTGTGGATCCTTCCCAATGCCCCTGATGTCATGTCATATAGGTGGCTGCCTCCTTAGACTGACCTTCGGGAGAAAAAAAACCCAGACTTTGAATTAGAAACAGCTCTAAGATGGTGATGCAGTGAGATAGGAAATCAAGATGGAAGCAGAGAATCTGGTGTGCCAAAAACAAACAGAAACTTAGTTGAGGGCAAAGAGAACAAGGAGAACGTTTAATACTTCAAACAACGTTTAATACTTCAAACATCAAGTCAACACGGCCCCATGGTTGAGAGCACAGCAACTCATTTGTAAAAATGTCATCATGTCACATCCAATGGAATGAGCCAACTTACTTTTTTTTTTTTTTGAGATGGAGTCTTGTATCCAGGCCAGAGTGCAGTAGTGTGATCTTGCTTGGCTCACCACAACCTCTGCCTTCCAGGTTCAAGTGATTCTCTTGCCTCAGCCTCCCGAGCAGTTTAATTTGTAGGCTTTTAAAGGCAACTTACTCCCACCATCACTTAAGGCCAGGATTATACACATTCTAGAAATGATTCTGAGAGGAATGTACAGCATGGTGCCTATCTACAGTCACATGATGGTCCTATTTACATGATTTTTACCATAAGTGGCAAATATTTGAAAAACGCCCAGAGTCTAGTACAGTTTATTTTTAGACTGAACATGAAGTAGGTTGTTCTTTTAGCAAAGGGCTTAATTTGGGTGGGGACTATAACATATCAAAATACATGAACAAATGGAAAATTAGTTCTAGAAAAACAAAGAAATTGGGTATCATTTTTGTTTCTTGGGAAGCTAATTTTGTTAAATGTTTAGAATTGAGCAAAGATTTAAATTTTTGAAGGGCAGTTTAGAAAAATGAACTTTGTAAGTGAACTTAAGATGTCTGTACTCTATATGTGATGCTGTACAGTTTGTTTTTATATGGAAAGATGTCACTTAGAGCCATAACCAATAAAATAAAAATTGATGAGGCATGCAGCTTTCAGCATATCTGTTAGACATGATGAAATTAATTTCGTGTTGCTATGGTGTTGAAATATCTGAGAAAAAAATGCCCTGTATCTTTGTAAACATGATTCCTTTTAATAAATTGTATTTTATTATTAGCGTTTTTTACCTTTTAATATAATCATAAGTTGCTATTATTGACTGCATTATTTGGATTCAGTCATATCAACCCTATTTTACAATGAGGGAAATAAAGTATTAGAGAAAGTGACTCACCCAGGGTCACATAAAGCATTCTGGAGGGAAGGAGAATCAAGGTCTTTGAAATATTTATATTACCAGGTAGACTGAATGTGACCTTTAAAAGTGATCTTACAGCCAGTGGCTGTAATCCCAGAACTTTGGGAGGCCAAGGAGTGTGGATCACGAGGTCAGGAGATCGAGATCATCCTGGCTAACATGGTGAAACCCCATCTCTACTAAAAAACAAATACAAAAAAAATTAGCCAGGCATGGCGGCATGCGCCTGTAAGTCCCAGCTACTCGGGAGGCTGAGGCAGGAGAATCGCTTGAACTCGAGAGGCAGAGGTTGCAGTGAACCAAGATGCTGCCATTGTACTCTAGCCTGGGCGACAGAGTGAGACTACGTCTCCAAAAAAAAAAGGTAATCTTACCTGTAGATTATCTGATTGAAGGAGTTCTGCATTTAAGACAATTGAAAAATAATTTTAAAGGGAAAGGTGTCAGTTTCTCTCTTAAATGTGTTGGTGTATTTTACATCTCTTTTCTTAAGGCTCACTTAAACCTTCTCCTGAACACTTAAAACTTACTTTTTCCTAGTCGGGCGCAGTGGCTCACGTCTGTAATTCTAGCACTTTTGGAGTCCAAGGTGGGTGGATCACCTGAGGTAACGAGTTTGAGACCAGCCTGGTCAACGTGGTGAAACCCCCTCTCTACTAAAAATACAAAAAACGTTAGTCAGGCGTGGTGGCACATCCCACCTGGCCTGTAGTCCCAGCTACTTGGGAGGCTGAGGAAGGAGAATCACTTGAACCCAGTAGGTGGAGGTTGCAGTTAGCTGAGATCGCGCCACTGCACTCCAGCCTGTGTGATTGGCAGTGAGGCTCCCTCTCAAAAAAAAAACAAAAAACCGTTTTCCTTTCATTCTTAGTAGACAGCACTACTCCTCCAGCCTTCCATAAGCATTTTACTGTTTCAAATCAGCTGAGTACCCAATACATTCTCTTTCATAGGAAAGTACTAGGATTTTTTTCATCTGGCTCCCAGTGACTTCAAAACCTGTGATCTGGCCCCACAACTCAGTCCCACTCAGCAACACCTCTTTTCAGTCACTGATGGCTGTTGACATTGTTTTTTTTTTTTTTTTTGAGATGGAGTTTCGCTCTTGTTACCCAGGCTGGAGTGCAATGGCGCGATCTCGGCTCACCGCAACCTCTGCCTCCTGGGTTCAAGCAATTCTCCCACCTCAGCCTCCTGAGTAGCTGGGATTACAGGCATGCACCACCATGCCCAGCTAATTTTTGAATTTTTAGTAGAGACAGGGTTTCACCATGTTGACCAGGATGGTCTCGATCTTTTGACCTTGTGATCCACCTGCCTCAGCCTCCCAAAGAGCTGGGATACAGGCTTGAGCCACCGCGCCCGGCCCACATTGCTCTTTACTAGATTTTCCTTTGATCCACACATAGTTTTGAGGGTTTTTTTGTTTTGTTTTGTTTTTGTTTTTTGAGACTGAGTCTCACTCTTACCCAGGCTAGAGTGCAGTGGTGTGATCTCACCTCACTGCAACCTCCACCTCCTGGGTTCAAGCAATTCTCATGCCTTAGCCTACCAGGTAGCTAGGACTACAGGTATGCACCACCATGCCAGCTAAGTTTTGTATATTTTTAGTAGAGATGGGGTTTTGTCATGTTGGCCAGGATGGTCCCAACTCCTGATCTCAGGTGATCCGCCCACCTTGGCCTCCCAAAGTGCTGGGATTACAGGCATAAGCCACCATGCCTGGCTGAGATGCATATTTCTATTTGTCTTTCCATTTTGCTGTTCAAGGCACACTCTGTTGATTTCTTCACCTGTGTAAACTGAGTTGTGCTGTGCCCCAGGACACAAGCCGCCATCCTTACCTTCAGATGTTTCCCAACTTCATGTTGATGATGCCTCTTAACCCTGAGATTCTGTAATTTGAGCTCCTTGTTGAGTTCAATTATATTGTCCCAAAACAATTTTTTTTGTTTGTTTTTTCTCAAAGTAGATAATGCCACTTTGTTCCTAGCAGAATTACTTCAGTTTTTTGTTTTCTGGATCCCAAGTTTTCTACTTTTTCGGATTAAAATTGAATGAGAATTTCTAACAAAGAACTTCCCAAGCTGAATACAAAGAGGGAAAAGCTTAGATTGCAGTTTGCCATTCACAAATTTCTCATCTCACTGGCTTTTTAAGCATCTGTGTTGCAGAATTCTCGATTCCTGTCCCCATTTTCCGACCTACTGGATTCCAGTATTCTAAAAATAAAACGAATATTTTAAGTTATAGCTACTTTAGCAGATAAACACAGATTCTCCAGCTAAATAGGAAACCACCAAGGACAAAAATAAGGTTAGACATCCCAAAGCTGAATGTTTCTGGGAATTGATCGGTTAGAACTGAGCCTTCTATATTTCTGTATTTAGGTCTAAGCATATCTTTTTTTTGACTTATTTTAATTCTCAAATTACATAAGTTTTTAAAATCATGTTATGTCATCACCCTGCAAATTGGAAAGAGATCAACTTACTCAGCTTAAATCTTTTTATAAGGTTATTTCAAAATTTAGGAAACATCTCAAAACGTTTTAATGCAAAAATCATTTTAACTTTTACAAAAATAGCTTGGAGAAATTGGGCCGGGTGCAGTGGCTCATGCCTATAATCCCAACACTTTGAGAGGCTGAGGCAGGTGGCTTACCTGAAGTCAGGAGTTTGAGACCAGCATGGCCTACATGGTGAAATCCTGGCTCTACTAAAAATACGAAAGTTAGCCAGCTGTGGTGGCGTGCCTGTAAAGCCCATTCGGGAGGCTGAGGTGGGAGAATCACTTGAACCCAGGAGGTGGAGATTGCAGTGAGCTGAGATTGTGCCACTGCACTCCCCCATGGGCTACAGAGCAAGATTCCATCTCAAAAAAAAAAAAAAAACTCAGGAAAATTGTGTTCAGTGTATGGACTATTTTTAAAAAGGTGCTCCTCATTCATTTTCATGTAGTCATTTCATATGTCCAAAGACTCAAATCCAAATGAATCAAAAGGTAGCATTCTTAAAACAAAACAGTTCTACAGATGAAACTAGAGATCTTGATAAATCTCTAAATATATTATCTAGAGATTTGTGTATAGAATAAAGAAATCAGAACCATGAACTGCAATTTATGAGACTTCAGCATTCTTTTTTCTGCCAGGGAGGTGGAAAGACAAGGAAAAACTGAGGTGGGTAAGGGGAGGGACAGACAGAAATATACCTCAGAGGTCCTGGGGGCCCCCTAACACAGCGCAGCACTATGTGGGAACTGAAAGTCAGATTTTACTCCCATTTTCTCTCCCACCAAGCAAAGGGCCATTTCACAGGGAATCTTGGTTGAAACAATAAAAAGTCAGTTAAAAAGATGAAACCAGAAGTGGGGAACCAAAAACCATTACTGTAGAAAAGATATTAGAAAGATTAAGGATAAGGAAATTATTGGACCTTTTTTTTTTTTTTGAGATGGAATCTGACTCGGTTGCCCAGGCTGGAGTGCAGTGGCATGATCTCAGTTCACTGCAATCTCTGCCTCCTGGGTCCAAACAATTCTCCTGTCTCAACCTCCCAAGTAGCTGGGATTACAGGTGCATGCCACCACGCCCAGCTAATTTTGTATTTTTAGTAGAGATGGGGTTTTGCCATGTTGGTGAGGCTGGTCTTGAACTCCTGACCTCAGGTGATCTGCCCACCTCGGCCTCCCCAAGTGCTGGGATTAAAGGCATGAGCCACTGCGTAAGGCCTGATTTCCTTTTTATCATATTACAACACATATACATTCCTTGGCCCCTTGGGTCAGCCGGTTTTCTCAAGTGGGATTCTTTCACCAGCACTCTATTTGAGCTACATGCTAGGTTCAGCGAGGACAAAACACTGTCATCTTTCCAAAAAATGGTAAGAGGAATCCAGAGATTCAACTGAAATCCAATCAGAACCCATTTGTCTTATTGTTCAGTTCTTTAAGAACACAGGCCGGGTGCGGTGGCTCAAGCCTGTAATCAGCACTTTGGGAGGCTGAAGCAGGTGGATCACGAGGTCAAGAGATCGAGACCATCCTGGTAAACATGGTGAAACCCCGTCTCTAATAAAAATACAAAAACTTAGCTGGGCATAGTGGCCATAGCCTCTGAACCCTGTTTAGAACACTAAAAATAATCCATTTATTTCATTTACAATATTAGTGTTCAGTTGCCATACATGTATAAGTTATTTTAATCAAACTACTCAAAAATTTGTTAACATTTAGGTGAAAACCAAAAATACTCACCTGGCTAATGAAACAAAACTAAGCAGCTTTGTTTCCTGGTTGACAATCACATACCAAGAATAGCTTCAAAGAATTAATGAGCATTATTACTCAAAAATGTTACTGTATTTTAGATCAATTGACTTTTTGAGATGCTTTAGGTACACTATATACCAATTTTCGAAGTTCAGTGAACTTTTTTTGAACAATGGCAGTTTTTAAAATTAGGGCAGTGGAATTGAAAATACTTGCATGAGGCCGGGCGTGGTGGCTCACGCCTGTAATCCCAGCACTTTGGGAGGCCAAGGCGGGTGAATCGCCTGAGGTTGGGAGTTTGCAACCAGCCTGACCAACATGGAGAAACCCCATCTTTACTAAAAATACAAAATTAGCTGGCTGTGGTGGTACATGCCTGTAATCCCAGCTACTTGGGAGGCTGATGCAGGAGAATCGCTTGAACTTGGGAGGCGGAGGTTGCAGTGAACTGAGATTGCACCATTGTACTCCAGCCTGGGCAACAAGAGCAAAACTCTATCTCAAAAAATAATAATAATAATAAATAAATAAAATACTTGCATGAACAATATTAATGCATTATTTTCCCCCAGAATGTCATTTTCTTCTAATGTTACTGGCTGGAACAGTTGAAACCTTCAATAAAAAGCTGATATTCCCAATTCAGGCTTAGATTATATAAGTTGTTTTTAAGAGATGGGGTTCTTAGATTTCTACTGGAATGCTGAAGGAAAAAAAAAAATTGAGAGAGAGAGACAGGATTTTACTCTTGTCCAGGCTGGAGTGCAGTGGTGTACTCAGCTCACCACAGCCTCACTCACTACAGCCTCAAACTCCTGGACTCAAGCAATTCGCCTGCATTAGCCTCCCAAGTAGCTGGGACTATAGGAGCATATCACCATGCCTGGCTAATTTTTATTTCTTATAGAGACAGGATCTCTCTTTGTTGCTCAAGCTGGTCTAGAACTCCTGGCCTCAAGCAATCCTCCTGTCTCAGACTCCCAAAGTGGTGGGATTATAGGTGTGAGCCACCATGCTTGGCCAAGATTACATAAATTTTTTTGAAAGCTTGATTTGGCCTTTAATAAAACCAAATCTGTAGGAAACAAAAAATCTCCTTTCAAGAGGATCTCACTACACTGACTGAAACTTTTTGAAATGTTTTCATTGTTGCCCTTCATATTATGTAAAAGAATCACTTCTATTAGGAAAATGACATAATGAAATGTCTTAGAAATTATTAATACTAAAGATTAAGGAAACATTTATTGACTGTAATCTGCACACATATATAAATCTTACAGTAAAAAATTCTTAGGCCTAGCTAAAATCCATTATTTCCATTTCTGTCTATTTATTCATGCTCCTTTAAAGCCCATTCCTGTTTATTCAACATTCTAAAATTCTAATTCACAAACATGTAGAGTTCAAGAGCAGTGTTTGAACAACACTGAAGGCATAGCACTGTCTGTACTAATCAGGTGGCAGTAAGTTTGTCTTACCATATTTCTCTAATTGTCCCCTCAACAGACTTCAGACTCCTTGAGAGGAAGGGCCTTTTTCTATCCCCAAAACCAAACATAAAGACTCACATATAGTAGAATGTTGGTTATAGCTATGAAAGACACAGACTAATGGATACATTTAAGAATTAATTTAAATTATAAAGAATATTTGACTTTTACAACTACCTCAAATGCACTAATCCTGAACCACAGGGGTTCATGGCCTATGTATAGAAGCAATAAACAGCAGCAAACTGAAACGATAAACTTAAACTCTCATGTTTTGGGCACCAAATAATGCTAGTTTCCTGTGGCTAAGACCTTACCAAAAAAGGGACATTTGTGAAAAGATGTATACATAATTTTAATGCCATTTAAAAAAATTTTTAATTTTTTTTTTTTTTGAGACGGGGTTTCACACTTATCCCCCAGGCTATAGTGCAATGGCACAATCTCAGCTTACTGCAACCATGCCCAGCTAACTTTTGTATTTTTAGTAGAGACAGGGTTTCACCATGTTGGCCAAGCTGGTCTCGAACTCCTGACCTCAGGTGATCTACCTGTCTCAGCCTCCCAAAATGCTGGGATTACAGGTGTGAACCACCACACCCAGCCTAAAAGCCATTTGTAATGGCCAGAAGTAATATTTAAGACTTTTTTCAAGAACTGGGGGGAATGTCTTGCATACTCACAAAGGTTCTTTGCCAGAATTACACACACGCCCCTCCAGTAGAAGGGCTTTGCTGGGAGTGCTGATTCTGCTCATTCTAGAGCTTTTATTTCCTCAATTCTAGAACTAGAAAAACTAAGGTCTTATTATAACAGGTATAAACCACAACATTTAACTAAGATACCAAAGTGCTACTGCCTTCTTAGAAATTCAGTTATAGTTATTATATTAATAAATCTATTTATAGGGAGAGATGGGGTTTGGTATGTTCATCCTCAATCCTGTTCTTTCCTGACTTCTTTCCTGTCAGTTCATTCACTACTCACTCATCAGCATTTATTGTACAGCTACTACAGGACAAGCCCTGTGCTAGGTAGTCAAAGAGAAATGATTGAAGTAGGTCCTGGCGCTGAAGCAGTGTAGTCACATTCTACAGGGTACAGTTGGATTAATGCTATTTACTTACTCAGACTTCACAAAAGGAAACATCAGAGAAATAGTTTTTCCCCCCGTGATTGTAAATATTCCCTATCTGGTGGACCTGCTGTTCTTTCTTCTATATTCAAAAACAACCAATGCCTCTTTTACTTTTAACTTTATTTGGCAAAGCAGCACTGCATAAACTGTTCAAGAACTGGGACACAGCTTACACAGCATGTTAAGTTCATATACATTATCAGCAGCAAATTAGAACAGAGAAAACAACACTAAACTCCAAGTCTCCTATAATTTTGAGAGAAAGAAGGGAAGAACTAAGTCATTATGTCCAATCTGAACAGCTGAGTGTTTACAGGACATCACCTGCCATCTTAAGGTTTAGTATTTACAAATGCCTAGTTTTAAGGTAACAAAGCGGCTGATTGTATCTACAACATGCTATTCTATGACACCACATCAAAAGCTTTAAAAAGAAAGCTCATCTCTATTTTCTTAGTAGCATCTAACAGACATCCAAATACCAAGAATCTTAACTTGTGAATGGTGGTGTTATCCAATGCACAAAAGCAATCTGATAAATTAATATCAGAACAGAATTAAGTGTCCAAGAAAAGAAAAACCACTCCTCAAAATCAATTCACAAAATAGGTTTTCCATTCTGCAGAACCCTTTCTTTTAATACTTCCAAGTAAAATATGGGCATGTTAAAGTAATAATACACACATTTGTACTGTGTATCCTTCCTCTACCAACATGGCTCTGTGCCTCTTTGAAAAATCAGAAACCCTAAAAAAACACACATTTTCATGCTGAAAAGAACAGTGTAACAAAGTCCAAAACAAGCTGTGATGGTGTTGGTTTTCAAAAAGCTTTGAGGACTGAGATGAGCAATCCACTGTAATTTTATAGACTGGTCAAGCTGATGTTGCCTTTACAATTCATCCCTGTGAGGAAAAAAGAGAAGTATGTAAGTAGGAGTTATTTATTGCATAGTTCAACTTTATAATAGTTTAGACACAACTATTAAGTCAGCAAAAATGCACTGATCGCCAAGCAATATATTTTTTAAATAAAAAAGCAAACAATTCAAATGAAAGTAACAGAGGGTCAGCCATTCCAAACATTGTCCATGCTACGCCAGCATGAAGTATGCAACCTAAAAGTTGTGAGTTCTTTATTTTTTTAAATTCTAAAAATAGATTTCTTCCTTCAACATCAAAATTCAGAAAAATTATATCTTTTAGATCTATGGTCATCTTTACATTATAGTAAAATGACAAGTTGAGTGTTTCAGAGTTCAAATTAGTTAATAGTTAACATTCATAAAATTGGACAAAAATGTGGTCTTTTGCTTTAGAATGTTCATTAGCAACTGTGGAGTGGGTCAATCTCAACCCAAGCTCTCTGAGAGAAAAGGCATCGTCTGTAGGTCAGCTGATTTCATAAGGCAGCTTTATCAGCTCCAAAAGAAACCATTCGTACCAGCAACTGCCAGCGAGAGGAAGGAAGGAATAAAAACACAGTCTAAAATAAACTGTATGGTATCTAAATTATACCTCAGTAAAGCTGTTAAAAGTGGAAAAATCAATAAAACTACAAGCCTCATAGCTGAAGGTAATCTGAGTGACAAAAACAAGTACTCTAAGGGTAAAGAAGCAAGATATTTGCAATCAAGTCTCAAGTGGTTTAAGAAAAAGGAAAAAATATTACATACATGTATATATAGAAAAAGAGGAGAGAGATGTAGAAAAATGATAGTAACTGATGACCCCGGATGAAGAGCTTTAGGAGTTATTTATACTATCCTAGCAACTTGTCGGCAATAAAAAATGAAGTTCAAAGTTTGGAAAAAGCTGTTAAATTTGAAGGGAAGAAATTAAGAGCTCGTATTTCACAGGTAAGTGAGGGATTACTGGACAATTTTTTTTTAACTCAATTTTGTAAACTGTGCAAGAAAATAATCTAAAAGTTATTTCTCCAATAAGCTACTTTGTCTACAGTATTAAATTATCTATTAAATGACAAATTATCAGTCTGCTTCCTCTTAGTATATTCTTCTAAATAACAATATTATAATTCTCATAGAACAGCTTTTACTTAAATTCATGCAAGCATTCATTAAAATATTTGGTCTACAAAGATTTACTTGCAAAGTAAAATTCACTTGTGCTTTTTAGAATATGAATTGAAGATACTGGTTTTTTGTTTTGCCTTTTTTTTTTTTTTTTTTTTTTGAGGTGGAGTTTTGCTTTGTCGTCCAGGCTGAATGCAGTGGTGTGATGTCGGCTCACTGCAACCTCCACCTCTCAGGTTTCAGCAATTCTCCTGCCTCAACCTCATGAGTAGCTGGGATTACAGGCAGGCACCACCATGCCCATCTCATTTTTTTGTTGTATTATTAGTAGAGATGGGGTTTCACCATGTTGGCCAGACTAGTCTCAAACTCCTGACCTCAAGTGATCCACCTGCCTCGGCCTCCCAAAGTACTGGGATTACAGGCATAAAATGCCTGGCCCAAAATGTTTTTTTTTCAGTGGCTGTGCTCCAGGCTATAATTCACAGAAAATAGCTATTGGTGAAGAGTAAAAACAAAATTGAGAGATTAAACCTTATTACCACCACTTTTACTTCTTAAGAAAATAATTATTTTATAATAAGAATCCGTATGTCAAATAAAAATAGATTCTAAGACAAGGAAACGGTAAAGCCTTTCTTATTTTGGCATTTAATTTCAAGTAATTTGAGCTAATAGCACTGTTATGTACTGATGTCACTCTCCCTCATGGAAGGGAGTGGGAAGGGGAGGAAAAGAGAATAGAAAAAATCTTGGCTTCAAACAAAATATTCTTATTATGCTGAGACATAAAACAAAAGTGGACATTCTTTATAGGAAGCCATGCTGGGCTGAAAGTTGCTGCATGCTGCTGACCCTTTGGGTGGGTTTGTGAGACCTGGGCACTCATTGGTTAGCTTGTAGAATCCCTGCCCCTCTTTAAGAATTTAGCCAGAATAGCTTAAACAGTGGTTGGCCTATTCTATGGAATGGGGAAAAGTGTATTCCTTATGGTGACTCTGAAACAAGGTTGAATGAAAAACAGGTATGGGCTGTCAGGTATCTATGATTTGGTTGAAACAGAGAAATCGAACTGAGAGGTAAAATGTCCTCTCTGGGATTCTGACATTTTAGAAAACTGAGACAACTGTTATTTTTTCCCTTCTTTCTTTCTCCTTGGTGGTACAACAGAGAGTGAGCAGTGCAGGAAATAATGGCCCCTTCTTTTTTTTTTTGAGACAGAGCTTTGCTCTGTCTCCTAGGCTGGAGTGCTTTGGCAAAATCTCGGCTCATTGAAACCTCCGCCTCCTGAGTTCAAGCAATTCTCCTGACTCAGCCTCCCAAGTAGCTGGGAGTATAGGTGTACACCACCACACCTGGCTAATTTTGTATTTTTAGCAGAGATGGGGTTTCACCATGTTGGCGAGGCTGGTCTTGAATTCCTGACCTCAAATGATCTGCCTGCCTTGGCCACCCAAAGTGCTGCGATTACAAGTGTGAGCCACTGTACCTGGCCTCTTTTACAGACCAAACTCTTTATTTCCATGACCATCCAGTGCTATAAAAATGATTTTAAAATATAAAAACAGTGGCTGATAATGATTAAAAAATCCTTAGAAAGTACTGAATTGCAGCTGAAAATCTCAAAAAAAAAAGCTTTTGTGCCAACCAAGTCTCACCCTCCCTTTCCCAAAGATGTATATGTTAAACCAAAATAAGGGCAGACCATGCAACATTTTTCACAGTTTTAATGTAATGAGTTTGTGATGTTATAATGGAGTAGCATCAAGGCGACAACCAAAAACAGCTCTTGTAGTCTAATGTCTTAAAATCCACACCCTTTCACCTTGCATGTGTGGAAGAAGAAAGAGCAGAAGATAAAATCACTTCCACCTGGACCACTGCTTTTCTTTATCTGTTAAAGGCACGTATATCACCCCCATCAGAGGCTTCATTTTGACGCTGCCATCTTGTAGCTTGTCATACTGCTCCAACATTTGGTTTCCACCTGCAGGACCAACTGGCAATATCAATCTTCCACCAGGCTTTAACTGGTCTATTAGCTAAAAGAAAAGAAGAGGAAAGCACATACACACCAAGTTACAGATTTTATTTATTTATTTTTTGAGACAGGGTCTCAGTCTGTTGCCCAGGCTGCAGTTCAGTGAGGCAATCTTGGCTCACTGCAACCTCCCCCTCCTGGGTTCAAGCAATTCTCCTGATTCAGTCTCCCAAGTAGCTGGCACTACCGGAACCTGCCACCGTGCCCAGCTAACTTTTTTATTTTTAATAGAGATGGGGTTTTACCATGTTGGCCAGGCTGGTCTTGAAATCCTGACCTCAAATAATCCACCCACCTTGGCCTCCCAAAGTGCTGATATTACAGGCGTGAGCTACCGTCAGCCCAGATTTTATATTAACAGTCATTTGACATCATTGTAAACAACTTTTAGTGTCCATGGGCAGAAATCAGAAATGTACTTTATTCCGTATACACAGGTTGAGGTCAGGCATGGTGTCTCATGCCTGTTATCCCAGCATTTTGGGAGGCCGAGGTGAGCAGATCACGTGAGGTCAGGAGTTTGAGACCAGCCTGGCCAACACAGTGAAACCCCGACTCTACTAAAAAAAAAAATAATACAAAAATTAGCTAGGTGTGGTTCAGATGCCTGCAGTCCTATCTACTCAGGAGCCTGAAGCAGAATTGCTTGAACCCAGAGACAGAGGCTGCAGTAGCTGAGATCACGCCACTGCACTCCAGCCTGGGTGACAGAGCAAGACTCCATCTTAAAAATAAATAAATAAATAGTATATACAGATTGAGCATCAAGATAATCTGAAAACCCAAAACCAGAAATGCTCTCAAATCCAAACTCTGAACATCAACATGACACCACGAGTAGATAATTTCACACCTGATCTCATGTGGCAAGTCACAGTCAAAACCCTGCACAAAATTATTTGAAATATTATATAAAATTACCTTCAGGCTACGTTGTATAAAACGTATACAAAACATAAATGAGTTTTATGTTTAGATTTGGTCCCATCCCCAAGATATCTCATTATGCATATGCAAATATTCCAAAATGTGAAAAAATCTGAAAACATCCAAAATCCACCCTTCTGGTTCCAAGCATTTTGGATAAGGGATACTCACCCTGTACATACTTTGACTGTTATACTATTACTCAACTATTGGCGTCCTCTACTAAACTACAAACTCTTGAGGATGGGACCGTGTCTTATTCGTCTTTGTGCCTCTAGCATCCAACACAGTACCTGGTACAACTGTATGGTTCAAAATGTTTGAACTGAACCACCTAATATATAACTATCCTCTTGGGGAGGCCAAAGGCAGAGCATAAAATTCTAATGCCTGTGTGCCTGTTTTGAATCTTTGTGAGTTCAAAGAAAGAAGAAGGGGAGGAGAAAGTGTAGAAAATCAGCAAGGAATCCCTATCCTATTATTGTAGAATCTAGGGCATCACCGAAGGGATAAGGGAACCCTAGTTATGCGATTAAACTCAGGTTTACTGATACCATGAGGAGGGAAGGCAGGGCTGGAGTCCCTGCAGTGTTAGAATAGGGACACTCCTGTCAATGAAGAACCAAGAGTACTCAATGAAAGCTCTTACAGTCAGAAAAGTTTTAAATCATGTTACCATTTTCATATATCTTTATAGATCACTATTAACAAAAAAACATCAAAGAAGAACCCTTACTTTGGTTGTCTGTTTTTTGAGACTGAGTCTCACTCTATCGCCCAGGCTGGAGTGCAGTGGTGCAATCTCAGCTCACTGCAACCTCTGCTTCCCAGGTTTTCAAGCAATTCTTGTGGCTCAGCTTCCCAAGTAGCTGGGATTACAGGTGCCCACCACCAAGCTCAGCTAAATTTTTTTTGTATTTTTAGTAGAGACAGGGTTTCACCATGTTGGCAAGGTTGGTCTTGAACTCCAGACCTCAAGTGATTCACCTGCTTTGGCCTCCCAAAGTGCTGGGATTATAGGCGTGAGCCACCATGCCTGGCCAGAAGGGAAGGATGGCCTCAATCAAAATTTTTGTTGTCTGCAAGTCTATCTTCTTGATTTTCTCAATGTCAAGGCTTATAATGAAACATGGCAGACTTACTCTCCCTACCCCAACCTTGCTCTCTAAATCCAGTCATTTCAATCCTTTTAGCTACTCTGTCTTCTAGAATTTACCTTTATATTTCAAAACATACGCTAGATAAGGATCGAACTCTCAATCTACACTCTGCTTCCTTTCCCCAATCCAACCAATCGTTTTTTATTAAAATCATTATAGTTATGACAGTAACTATGATTTGCTACTGAGTCAAGAGACATCCAATGATTGTTTCCTTTCTTATGTAATAGTTTGTTTCCTCTTCAGCTAAACTTGAATGCTTTTCTTTTTTCATTCACTTAATTTTCTTTGTAACCATCTTTAAATCCTTCTACCCTCCAATAGCTTCTAAATAAACATTTCACATAGTCAAGTCGATCTAACTAATGCTTTTTTTTTCCTTCACTTTAGACTCCCTTCTAGTGGCTTCCTCCTCTAGCTCCAAATCTGAACTGGTTATACTCTAGGCCTGCTGCACAGCTTCCATCCAAGCCCTTCCCTTTGTAATAATCCTGCAAACTTTCATGCCTCTCTCTGATAAAGATGCCCTATGTGGTTTCCTCTTTTGTTTTTTCCCACTGTCTCTTCCCTCATTCCATTTTTGGGTGACAAAAATGACATTTTAAGATGTTAAATTTTGAGACATTTTAAGACATCTTAATTCAAGACAATTCCTTCAGAAGAATTTGGTGAAATAGTACATAGTACATATTAAAAGAAAGAGAGGGAGATTTGCAAACCTAAAACTATATTTGATGATGTGTGTGCATATAGAATTCAAGGTTGGAAATAATTTTCAGCTCAGAATTTGATGATTTGGTACTCTGACTTATGAATTCTAATGCTGTTTGCAGTCTGGTGCCTTTCTGATTACCAGTCCCTTAACAGGAGATCAGTTTTATTTTTCTAGAAGCTTTTATTTTATTTTTTTAGAGACAGGGTCTTGCTCTATCACCCAGGCTGGAATACAGTGGTGCAATCATGGTTCACTGAAATCTCAATTTCCTGGGCTCAAGCAATCCTCCCACCTTAGCCTCTCATGTAGATGAGACTACAGGGACAGGCTGACACATCTGGCTAATTTTTTTTTTTTGAGATGGGAGTCTCACTCTTTCACCCAAGCTGGAGTGCAGTGGCACAATCCTGGCTCACTGCAACCTTCACCTCCTGGGTTCAAGCAATTCTTCTGCCTCAGCCTCCTGAGTAGCTGGGACTACAGGCACGTGCCAGCACTCCCGGCTAATTTTTACATTTTTAGTAGAGACAGGGTTTCGTCATATTGGCCAGGCTGGTCTCAAACTCCTGACCTGACTTCGTGATTCGCCTGCCTTGGCCTCCCAAAGTGCTGTAATTACAGAAATGAGACACCGCACCCAGGATATGTGGCTAATTTTTAAATTGTTTTGTACAAATGGGGTCTTGCTATGTTGCCCAGGCTGGTCTCAAACTCAGGTCCTCAAGCGATCTTCCTTCCTTGGCCTCCCAAACTGCTGAGATTACAAGTGTGAGCCACTGCATCTGGCTTCTAGAGGCTTTCAGAATCTTCTCTCTATCCCCTAATGTTCTGAATATACATGATATGGTCATTTATTTTTTCTTATTTTAAAAATTCTTTGTGTTGGGCATTCAGTTTCAAACTATAGAACTATGTCCATCTGTTTTTAGAACAGTTCTTACTTAGGGGATTAGTGCTGTTTATTCCTCATGCAGAGTTTCAACAGCACTCCCTCTTTTCAGGCCCCTGGTTTACCTATGATTTTCAAGGTCATGATGCCACCAATTCCTAAGCCTTTTCAGCATTTTGCAGAGCAAACTGCTTATGCATAATATTTCACTCTGCGGTCTCTTTAATTTCCACTTCCTCCACCCTCCTGGGTCAGCTATTATTCCATCTGCTTTCCATCCTCACACACTGCGAATTCAGGATTGCAGGTATAGTCTCCTAGTTAATTGAGTATGGAGTTTATGCTTCTGTTTTTCTAGTTATCCTGGGGTGATATCCAAGAGAAGGCATAAACATCTTCAGTCTGCTATCTTGAACCGGAAAGCCCCTTCAGTACATCTATCTTTGAATTTAATCAGATATATACACACTCCTATAATACTTGCAAGTGTTACTACAATATTTAAATTCAATTCAATTAAATCTAGAAATGTCTTTCAAGATCATCTCAGGGTCTCAATAGGGAGAAATAGGCCCTGCACCCGCCCCCCTCATTTAAGCACAATTCTATTTCAGATTTTAACTGTTTACTCTAAGTTGACAATACTATTTTTTAAGTTAAAAACCCATTGGTCATGGTTCAAATTCATTGAGCCTTTCATTTATGACTTACAAAATTTTCTACATTATGTTAATACTTCAGTTAAAATGTGTTGAAACCACTGGTTCAATGTACCTGGAATGTAGCAGTGCAAGCATGGCTCACTGCAGCCACAGCCTCTCAGGCTCACACAATCCAAGCTATCCTCCCACCCCAGCTTCTTGAGTAGCTGGGACTATAAGTACCTACCACTACACCTAATTTTTCTATTTTTTTGTAGACATGGGGTTTTATCACATTGCACGGGCTGGTCTCGAACTTCTGAGTGCAATTGATTCATCTGCCTTCACCTCCCAAAGTGCTGGGTACAGGCATAAGCTACTTTAAAAAACAACACCACCACCAACAACAAAAACAGAAATCAACAGGGCCAAAGCAATTAAGTAATTATCCCAGTCACTCAGCCAATAAGCAGCAAGTCAATGACCGGAACAAATTATCCAACTTTCAGCTTCTCATAACTGATCTAAGCCTACAAAAAAGAACCCTTTCCAGGTTGGGGAACGGAACCCAGAAGAAACAGTGGCACTTTCGTCCCCTGATCATCTAGTCAAGAACTAAAAAGTCATATGTAACAGAAATCTAGGACCACAGACTAGAGTGCCACAACACAAATATGGCTCAGTGCAGCCTCAACTTCTTGGGCTCATGCGATTCTCCCACCTAAGCCTCCAGAGTAGCTGGGTCTACGGTCATGTGAGCTACCATGCCTGGCTAATTTTCTTTTTTTTAACAGGGTCTTGCCACATTATTCAGACTGGTCTCAAACTCCTAGGCTCAAGCAATCCTCCCACCCTGGACTTACAAGGTGCTAGGATTACAGGCATGAGCCACCAAGCCCAGCCATATATCCTACTATTCTTTAAGATTCAGTTCAAATTCCATCTTTGTGTGATGTCTCCTTGACCACTCACTGCACAATTCTCTCCCTCATATGCATATTTTATTTTCCTTCCATGTGTTAATTATTTGCTATCATATCACTAATTTCCCAGTTACATATATGACATATCTCTTCTGGAATACAAGCTTTGTGAGAATACAATGTATGGCAAATACTTTCTCATATCTCCTATATACCAAATACAGCCTTACACATTCTGGTATTTAATAAAACATCAAACTGCCCAGGGGCAGTGGCTCACGCCTGTAATCCCAACATTGTGGGAGGCCGAGGCGGGTGGATGACCTGAGGTCAGGAGTTTGAGACCAGCCTGACCAATATGGTGAAACCCCGTCTCTACTAAAAATACAAAAATTAATTGGGCATGGTGGAATCCCAGCTACTTGAGCGGCTAAGGCAGGAGAATCGCTTCAACCTGGGAGGCAGAGGTTGCAGTGAGCTGAGATCGCAACACTGCACTCCAGCCTGGGCAACAAAAGCAAAACTCTGCCTCAAAAAAAAAAAAAAAAAAAAAAAATCAAATTGATTGTCAGGTCATAAACTCCAGGGGGATTTTCCCAATTCTCCTGTTGTCCTAGTTCTTACCTGGATTAAACACTGCTTCAAATACGAGTTCCACAAACTGGGGCTTAGTAATTTTCCCATCATTTATACAATTGTGTGCATATGAAAAAAGAAAAGAGTAACAGCTAACTGTAACCAAAATGTGTGATATAAAAATCTAAATTATATTTTGAACATCATCTAGAAGTCTTTTCTATTTAAGTCTTGTAGAGTTTTAGTTGAAGAAAATACACAAACAGAAAATATCCCAACTCACCGCCTGGGGTACAACAGGGGCTGCAGCTCCTACGTGAATGGCATCGTAAGGGGCTTCTTCAGCATACCCCATTCTTCCATCTCCCACTGAAAAGAAAACAGCTATGCTTTAAAAACCTGTGCAGATCAAACTTAAGATGAAGAATTCTAGTACAGGAGGTTTATAATGGAGAAAGTATAGATTTTTCAATAAGTGATCCTGGGACAATTCACTTTTTTGCCGTTGTTTTTCATTCTTTTCATTTTTTGTTGGTCAAAAACATTAAAACAATGGAATTTTATTCTGATGAAAAAATGGGGTTTACAATCATTTAGTAAATGAAAAGCACTTCATTTTCCTATTTCACAACTTTTTTTTTTTGAGACAGAGTTTCACTCTTGTTGCTCAAGCTGGAGTGCAATGGCACAATCTCAGCTCATTGCAACTTCCGCTTCCTGGATTCAAGCAATTCTCCTGCTTCAGCCTCCCAAGTAGCTGGGATTACAGTTGCCTGCCACCACACCTGGCTAATTTTTTGTATTTTCAGCAGAAACAGGGTTTCACCATGTTGACCGGGCTGGTCTCAAACTCCTGACCTCAGGTGACCCACCCACCTCTGCTTCCCACAGTGCTGGAATTACAATTAAACTTGACTGACTACTGTTTCGGCTTGTAATGAGCCACTGTGCTGATCCCACAACTCTTAAGAACAAAAGTATTAGTAAATAAATGTCTGTGAACAGATTAAGGATAAGGCAGACTGGATAATAAACCACCTCTGAAGTTCACACTCCCTGCATGTGACTTACTCTAAAGGGTGACACAGCAACTGATATATGCCATTTTAAATCTCATTGTAATCATTCAAATAAGCCCAAGATAAATACTTTTTGCTTATCATGGGCAGCAAACTACATGAATTTTACTAGAGGAATACTTTGACAGAAGCACCTATTTAAGTTACCTCAATATATAGTACCTTAATAGTACTATATTCAAAAGAAATACACGGACAGTCCCATGCTTCTCTCAATTCAGGAATAGTTATGCCATCAGGACAACAGATTATTCCTATTTTATAGTAATCCACAATAGCTTGAAACACCGTGGAACCAATTACCTCTGCTACTTCATACTCTCCTTTCTCATTGGGCCACGTAAAGTTATGTTCTTGGCCAGATCCAAACAAACATCCTGACCAACGTTCTATTTGACTGTGCAGTAAAAGTGGATGGGTCTACAACAAATCCAGTGTTAGCCACTATTGGTGATACTCGTTCAGATGTTCTTATATTCCAAGCTCCTTCTTTTGCACTTTCAAATACAAACAACATCTCCCCAAATGTCTTAACTGCTATTATCTAAACTTGACTGACTACTGTTTCTGCTGCTGTTCCCAGCACTGCTAATGGAGCTATTTGGGGAGGCTTCTTGAGGACAAGGACTGCTTGGGCGGGAGGAACTATGATCTTTTTCTCATGCAACATGCTGCTGTCATGTTGGAGAAGTAACATTTCTAATACAAGAAGTGAGTTGAGATTCTGTTCTTTCATAAGATGAATCTTGGGATCTGTCACTTAACCTTCACCTATCTTATCATCTCTCATGTCCCCCACTGGCAACATGAGACTCATTTTGGTGTGGATGACTTCTCCTGTATTCCCCCTTCAGTGTCCACAGAGGATCAGGGCAAAGCCCAAGGCCAGCAACACCTCCACTCCCTCCTCAGCCAGATCCCGTGAGAGGTGGCTGTGGAGGTGGCCACTCAGGCAGCTGTGGCTATTGTAGCCACTTAGGTCTTTATTTTATTTTTTAAACAGAACTGAGTGTGTCTGTGGAAGACAACTAGATAGTCACATACAAAAACATACAACTGCACCTTTACCTCATACATACACAAAAATCAATGTCAGCAAGATCAAAGACCTAAACATGAAAAGCTAAAAATGATAAAGCTTCTAAGAAATAATAAGAGGAGGCTGAGGCAGGAGAATTGCCTGAACCCAGGAGGCAGAGGTTGCGGTGAGCCGAGATCGCGCCATTACACTCCAGCCTGGGTAACAAGAGCAAAACTCCGTCTCAAAAAAAAAAAAGAAATAATAAGAGACATATTCATGACCTCAGAGTATCAGAGTATCCTCAAATAGGACACAAAAAGCACTGAAAAGAATTGCTAAGTCTGACTACATTAAAATTAAGAATTTCTGTTTATCAAAAGGGTACTAATAAGATGAAATGGCATACCCCAGATGGGAAAAGAAATGTCTAATATGTACATAGAGACAAAGGGCTAGAAGCCCTATAAGTCAAAAATAACAGTGCTTGCTTTGGCAGCACATATACTGAAATTGGATCAAAAATCAAGCAATCCAATATCCGAACAGGCACCTCACAAAAGACAAAATTCAAATGGCCAAACACATTTAAAATATTCAATCTCAGTAGTTAATAGGAAAAGACAAAATTAAAACCACAAAGCAATGACAGGGAAAATACTCACTGGGTGAGCCAAAAGAAGAATCGTTTTTTAGTACTTAAAAGTGATTGTAAAAAAAAAAAAAAATGCAATAATTACCTCTGAGTATTATTGAGCTTGCATTGGATCTTCTGAAAAATAAAAATCTTCTGAAGAATTTTTTTCTTTTGTTTTGAGATGAATTCTCACTTTGTCACCCAAGCTGGAGGGCGGTGGCGCAATCTCAGCTCACTGCAACCTCCACCTCCCGAGTTCAAGTGATTCTCCTGCCTCAGCCTCCCGTGTAGCTGGGACTACAGGTGCAAGCCACCATGCCTGGCTCATTTTTATATTTTTAGTAGAGACGGGTTTCACATGTTGGCCAGGCTGGTTTTGAACTCCTGAACTCATGATGTGCCCACCTCAGTTTCCTGGGATTACAGGCATGAGCCACTGCACCTGGCCTCTGAAGAAGTTTTTAAAGATTTCTGATACTCACCAACAAGTTGTACTCTCCCTGAAGACAGAAGTGTTGGATCATCCTTCCTGATATTATTTATTGAGTCATCTACTAGCTCTTTAATGTGATCAATTCCTATGACTTTTCCACTACATCCAACCTGGAAAAGAGAAAACATTTCAGTAGCTCATTGGTCTACATTTGTTTTTCTAAAGTATTATGGAAGTTTTTCCTTATCTAAAGTCATATTCTGCAAAGAGAAAACAAAAATAGCTTAAGCCTCCAATTAGATTGCTACTCAGTTTATCAGAAATTATTTACCATATATACAACGTTCTCAACAATCCCTCTCATTGAATAAAACTTTTAATACTAAGAAAAATTATTTCTTAGATTAAATCTAGAACTTTGAAGAAAATTACCAATATTTAATAGCAGTGCAATAATTTTTTATTTAAATTCCAACTAAAGTATAGCTTTAAATATTAAGATGTTACATAAAGAATTTGACAGGAAGGAATTTCTACACTTGATTCCACTGCTGTTAGTAAAAAACATGAAAATATATACAGTGGCTCATAACTACAGTCACAGCACTTTGGGAAGCAGAGGCAGGCAGATTGCTTGAGCCCAGGAGTCTGAGACCAGCCTGGGCAACATGGTGAAACTCCGTCTCTACAAAAAAATTTAAAAACTAGCCAGGTGTGGTGGCCTGCGCCTGTGATTCCAGCTGCTCAGGAGGCCGATGTGGGAGGATCACTTGAGCCTGGGAGACAGAGGCTGAGGTCATGTCACTGCACTTCAGCCTGGATGACACAGTGAGACCCTGTCTCAGAATATGAAAAACAAAAAGCAACAACAAAAATCCCTTCCTTGCATATTTATTTTTTATTTGAAAATTAAAATATTAAGTATAAGCAAGGCACAGCAGCTCACTCCTACAATCCCAGCACTTAGGGAGGTCGAGGCAGATGGACCACAAGGTCAGGAGTTCAAGACTAGCCTGGCCAACATGGTGAAACCATGTCTCTACCAAAAATACAAAAATTAGCCGAGTGTGGTAGCACACACCTGTAATCCCAACTTCTCAGGAGGCTGAGGCAGGAGAATCGCTTGAACCCGGGAGGCAGAGGTTGCAGTGAGCCAAGATTGCACCATTGCACTCCAACCTGGGCAACAAGAGTGAAACTTGGTCTCAAAAAAAAAAAAAAAATTTTTATATATATATATATATATAAATTTTTTAAGAAAAAGTATTATAAAAATTTTAAAAATTAACACTTATAAATGCTTTGAAGTCAGACTATCTGGGTTCTTATCTAAGTGTCATCACTTACATACAGCTGTGTAACCCTGGCAAGTTAACTATTCCGTTTTTTTTTTAGACAGAGTCTTGATGTGTTGGCCAGGCTAGAGTGCAATGATGCAATCTCGGCTCACTGCCACCTCTGTCTCCCAGGCTCAAGCAATTTTCCTGCCTCAGTCTCCCAAGTAGCTGGGGTTACAGGGATGTGCCACCACGCCTAGCTAATTTTTGTATTTTTACAGAGACAGGGTTTCACCATGTTGGCCAGGCTGGTCTTGAACTCCTGACCTTAGGTAATCTATCCACCAAAGTGCTGGGATTACAGGAGTGAGCCACCTCGCCCAGCCAACCATTCCTTCTGTGAATCAGGTTCCTCAGTACAAAACAGGGAAGAAAAAGGCATATATCCCATCATAAAAATATGGTAGCACTTAGAACACAGGCACTAGTCCTTAAAACACAAAGCGCTTTCACATGTGATAAATGTGTGAAAAACATTAATGCCATTTTATAAAAAATGATAACTCAGAAACCGAATGATTTTTTAAAATGAACACATCCTCTAAAATCATAAACATGTCAAGTATAGAAAATGAGTCATTTGTTAAATGCTATTTCTAACCTTAAAAAAAAAAATCACTGATATCCATTAATGAGACCTAACCTCTACAAAATAAGCCAAACTTCTGAAAAAATACGTAAGTCCTTATTATGTGCCAGGCATTTTTCTAAATGTTTAGGATACCATCAATAAATAAAAGAGAGCAAACAAAATTCCCAACTCCCTGGAGCTTACATTCTGGTGGGTCTGCTGATTATACATTTATAGCAAGTTACATGGGTGGATCCACAACTCCCAATTTAACTAGATCAGAATCTTCCAATCTGGCCTCCAGGCACGATATTTCTCAAATTGAACCGATTTGATTATCTGAGCAATGATTATCCCACCTTTACTCCAACACACGTTATCCAACTGGATAGCCATTTACCAGATAAGGCTCTGATGATAAAAAGTAGAAGTATAACAACAAGGCATTTTTCTAAGAGCACTTTTTTTCTTTTCTTTTTGAGAAGGATTCTCGTTCTGTCACTAGGCTGGAGTGCAGTGGTGTCATCTCAGCTCACTGCAACCTCCGCCTCCTGGGTTCAAGTGATTCTCCTGCCTCAACCTCCCCAGTAGCCAGGACTACAGGCTCTTGCCACCATGCCCAGCTAATTTTTGTATTTTTAGTAGAGACAGGTTTTCACCATGTTGGTCAGGATGGTATCGATCTCTTGACCTCGTGATCCACCCGCCTCAGCCTCCCAAAGTGCTGGGATAACAGGCATGAGCCACCTCGCCTGGTGAAGAGCACTTTTTCTAATGCAGAAGTTCTACCTTCATTCCTGGTAAACCTGTAGGAATGTTTAGAAAACAGGCTCATTCAAGATCGTGCCACTGCACTCCAGCCTGGCAAAAGAGTGAGACACTGTCTTTAAAAAAAAAAGAAATAAAGAAACCAGGCTCATTCTGGGTGGAGACAGTGGAGAAGGTACTGGGAAATGACTCCTCTGGGAGACGGGGCCTGGCTACTATTCTAAATATCTCAGGCTTCAGAGTAGCTAGATTTCCCTGGGACCCTCAGACCTGTCCCAGGGCCCAGTGGGGAAACTGAGGCCCATAAAAGGAAGTAGAATTCTGAGTTGTTAGGGCTAAGCCTGACTCCCCTCTCCATGCTAACCTCCCTCGCCCCCGCCACCCACTCTGTTGCCTCAGTAGGTTTTTGTTGATGCTACCCAGGCTGGAGAGTAGGCTCACTGCACCTCCACCTCCCCTGCTCAAGGGATTCTCCTGCCTCAGCCTCCTGAGTAGTTGGGACTGCAGGTGCTCCACCACACCTGGCTAATTTCTGTATTTGCAGTAGAGATGGGATTTCACGATGTTGGCCAGGCTGGTCTCAAACTCCTGGCCTCACATGATCTGCCCACCTAGGCCTCTCAAAGTGCTGGGATTATAGGCGTGAGCCACAGCACCCAATCCTTCCATAGGTTTTTAGGAGCCCCCAGACCTCCTTCTCCCTTTCTCAGCCTGACAAGCTATACTGCTCAATCTCCCCCACCACATGCCCTATCAAGTACTGCAGAGAGACCCCTACCCAGGGGCCCTGCACGATGAGATAATGTGAAATACCAACTGTGGACCAAAAACAGTAAAACCTCTAATTTTAAGAAGAAAAAAAAAAAAAACAGGCTAATTCTAGTCTTTTCTGCCAAATGAGAACTTGGAAGAAAGTAGTTTGGGAGCTACTGGTCACCAACCTGTGATTACAAGGGTAGAGCTTACCAGATAATGACACTAACATGTGGAGGAAAGTAAAGCCAAACCAAGAAACAGAGAGAAACCTATTGTCAATAACAACATCTGGTCTTCTAAATCCAGCCACACAACAGACCGTATATACCCCTAGACTCTTCTGTTATATAAACTAAATAAACTCCCTTTAGCTCCGCTGGTTTGGGTTGAATGTTCTGTCACTTCCAACGACAAAATCCTAAGTGATGCTCATTCCAACTGCTATCCTAATAAACAAACAAACATGAAAACCACTAGTGAAAAAAAACAAACAGCCAAATCATATAATATTCTTCTGTTGGGCCCAGAATGAGAAATAAAGCTCTTACCATACGTGCAAAACATGCAGTAAGGATTCCACTTCCAGATCCTACATCAAGAGCTTTAGCTCCTTCATGCAATTGATCAAACAGAAGTTCTAGTGCGTATGCATGCTGCCAAAAGAAAACAGAAGAAACATTAAGACTACAGTACACATATCGTGGCATATAAATAAAGTTGCCAACTTTCTACCAATTTTTCTACTATTGTCATCTACCAAGACAACCAAAACATATATCCTTATCTTTCTGCACAGTAAATACATAAGAAAATTGAGTAAAATTCTTACGTTTAGATCAAGTATTTCACTAATTTTAGACCTCCAATGTATGAATTTTTAACTTTTAATTAATTCAGTAAAAAGAGTAAAAGATTTATAAGTGAAAAGTCTCTACCTTATTCCCATTCCCAACCATCCAGGTTTTTCACTCTGTAAAGGTAACCAATATTACTAGTTTCTTGTAATTCCTTCCAAAAAGGAAGGAATTCATTCTTTGCATATACAAGCAAATACATTTGCTTTTTTGGGGGGCGGGGGGTTGAAGTAGAGTTTTACTCTGTTGCCCAAGCTGGAGTTCAATGGGTGATCTCGGTTCACTGTGATCTCCGCCTCTCGCTCCTGGGTTCAAGCAATTTTCCTGCGTCAGCCTTCCCAGTAGCTGGAATTACAGGTGCCCACCACTATGCCCGGCTAATTTTTGTATTTTTAGTAGAAATGGGATTTTGCCATGTTGGCCAGGCTGGTCTCAAACTCCTGACCTCAGGTGATTCACCCACCTTGGCCTCCCAAAGTGCTGGGATTACACGCATGAGCCAGTGCACCCAGCCACATACGCCATTTTTTTATTTAGTATATTTTTAAAGACCTTTTATATCAAAAACAGCTTGTTCATTCTTTTTTGTGATTAAGGAGTATATTCTTGTATGGATATATTACAATAACAAATATCAATAATGGGAGATAGCTCCAACCTTCTACTAATAAAAAAAAGAAGATGAAATAAACATAAGATATGTCTATAGGATAATAATAATCTATATAAAATCTTTTTTTTTTCTTTGAGATGGAGTTTCGCTCTTGTTACCTAGGCTGGAGTGCAATGGCGCGATCTCGGCTCACCGCAACCTCCACCTCCTGGGTTCAGGCAATTCTCCTGCCTCAGCCTCCCGAGGAGCTGGGAGTACAGGTACGCGCCACCATGCCCAGCTAATTTTTTGTATTTTTAGCAGAGACGGGGTTTCACCATGTTGACCAGGATGGTCTCGATCTCTCGACCTCGTGATCCACCCGTCTCGGCCTCCCAAAGTGCTGGGATTACAGGCTTGAGCCACCGCACCCAGCCTAAAATTTTCTTTTATAAGAAGCCAAAGGATATAAATTTGGCCAGGTGCAGTGGCTTACACCTGTAATCCCAGCACTTTTGGAGGCCAAGGGGGACAGATCAGTTGAGATCAGGACTTCAAGACCAGCCTAGCCAACATGGTGAAACCCATCTCTGCTAAAAATACAAAAATTAGGCCAGGTGCGGTGGCTTATGCCTGTAATCCCAGCACTTTGGGAGGCTGAGGCAGGTGGATCACCTGTGGTCAGGAGTTCAAGACCAGCCTGGCCAACATGGTGACATCCTGTCTCTATTAAAAATACAAGAATTAGCCAGGTGTGGTGGCAGGCACCTGTAATCCCAGCTACTTGGGAGGCTGAGGCAGAGAACTGCTTGAACCCAGGAGGCAGAGGTTGCAGTGAACTGAGATCACGTGAACTGAGATCACGCCACTGCACTCCAGCCTGGGTGACAGAACAAAACTCAGTCTCAAAAAAAAAAAAATCAGATCCAATAGCAGTAAACACATTTACTACCAGATCTTGTTTGATAAAAATATGTATCGATTAACCCACAGTGATAAATTAATACATCATTTTATATATACACACACAAATGAAAAATAGGGGAAACTGTTCCCAACAAATAAATACATATATAATAAATACATGTAGAAAAAAATGATAAAAAGCATCATTTGGGCAGCCATCTTAACAATAACTGATTCAGGTAAAAATCTTAAATGGAAGCTAAAACTAGTGGACTAACATTTGAAAAATAAACAGGAAGCTGGGCACGGTGGCTCACGCCTGTAATCCCAGCACTTTGGGAGGCCGAGGCAGGTGGATCACGAGGTCAAGAGATCGAGACCATCCTGGTCAACATGGTGAAACCCCGTCTCTACTCAAAATACAAAAAATTAGCTGGGCATGGTGGTGTGTGCCTGTAATCCCAGCTACTCAGGAGGCTGAGGCAGGAGAACTGCTTGAACCCAGGAGGCGGAGGTTGCGGTGAGCCGAGATCGTGCCATTGCATTCCAGCCTGGGTAACAAGATTGAAACTCCGTCTCAAAAAAAAAAGAAAGAAAAATAAACAGGATATTTACATATTCTCAAACGGTTTGCCCCAGATACTTATTAATCACAAAAGGAAAAACAGTAATTTTATAATGGAGTTCAGAAAAAGTTTTCTAGTGGAAAAACTTGGTCAACACTACCTTAATTAGATGATCAAAGTCAACATCACAATTATGGGACACACTGACATCAAATGCCTCTGCTAAGATACTTCATTTCTGGGATATGCCAGGCAAAAATGCAAAACCCATACTGAACTATGAGGAAACATCAAACAAACTCAAATTGAGGGGCATTATATAAAATAAGTGGCCCATATTCAAAAAAATTTTCAGGATTTTCGAGGCCATAAAAGAATAAGGAACCATTCCACAGTCATTCTTTAAAGGAAACTATAAAGACATGACAACTGAAAAAAACTCATAAATTGCCTTTTTTTTTTGCTATAAGGAAAAAAAAAACATTATCAGAACAAATGATGAAATCTGAATAAAGTCTGTAAATTGGCTAATAGTGTTATATCAATGCTAATTTCAAAAATCATACTGTGGTTACATAAGAGGATGTCCTTATTTTTAAAGGTAAAAAGCATCATGCCTGCAATTTACTCTCAAAGAGCTCGGGAAAAAGGAAATATAATACACACACACACACACACACACACAAGGGAGGGGATAAAGAAGGGGGAGAGAATAATTGATAAAGCAAATGCTGAGATTTGCTTTACCAACGGTAAGACCCTATGTGGATAAAGGTATACAGGAACTATACTATTTGTACAACATTTCTGTAAGTCAGAAATTATGTCAAAAATTTAAAAACATTTTATCAACGTAAATAGCCAATGCCAAAGAGAAGGGTAGATGAAAATGTCCTATTCCACAAAACGAATCTAGGTGATAAAAACCAGAATACTGGTTACCCTGGGGCTGGGGGATAATTAAGAAAGGGCACAAGAGAACCTTCTAACTAGCAGTTATACATACCTACATGTATTGAAATTCATCAGACTGTACACTTAAGATGTGTGAACTATACTGTGTGTGTAAAAATTTAAAAAAAATTGACAACTACTTATTCCAATCACTAAAAATGAATGACCAGATGTTATGGACCTCCTGACGTGATGCAATAGGAAGGACCATTAGGAAGTGTTCCTGAAAAAAAAAAAACTTTTTAAGAATAAGTCAACCACCACCAGGAAATAATTAATCAAATTCAGAATATGGAAAATTTCATGTAACAAATGAACTAGTTTTTTCTATAAACAAATGGCATTTTAAAAAAAGAAAAGGATCTTTCTTTGAAAATTAAGAGACTTTAAAAACTGAAACAAGACCAAAAAGATACAATGTATAGACTCTGTGTAGATACTGATTTAAGCAAATTAACTATTAAAAAATGTTTAAGTATCTGGCAAAGTTTGAAGATGGACTAAACATAAGATCTTAAAGCACACTGTTAGGTATAGTAACATTGTAGTTTATTTTTAAAGTCATTGAGATTTATACTAAAGTATCCAGGGATGAAATAATATTATGTATGTTTGGAATTCACTTTAAAATACTTCAGCAAAAGTTAGGCCAGGAGCAGTGGTTCACATCTGTAATCCCAGACCTCTGGGAGGCCGAGGCGGGTGGATCACTTGAGTTCAGGAGTTCGAGACAAGCCTGGGCAAGAGAGAAACCCTGTCTCTACAAAAATGAGGTGGGTGTGATGGTGCACACCTGTAGTCTCAGCTACTCAAGAGGCCAAGGTGGGAAGATGGCTTGAGACCAGGAGGTGAAGGGCACAGTGAGCTGAGATTGTGCCACTGTACTCCATCCAGCCTGAGCCACAGAGCATGACTCTGTCTCAAAAAAAAAAAAGAGAGAGTGAGAGAGAGTTAGATAAAACAAGATTAGTTCATTGTTGGTCATTATTAAAGCTGGGAGATTTATTCATTCATTATATTATTTTATTTGTATATATGGTACTAGAACTCTTCCATAATTTTCCATAATAAAAAGTTGTGCTTTTATTTAAAGCTAAGGTTTCTAAGCACTTGGGAGCTTAAAAAAAGAATTTTTTAAAAGTTAAAGCAACCTTCCCCCCCAGCTAAGACTCTTCAAACTTTCAAACCAGAAAGTTCCTAATGTTCCACAGAACCCTTTTAGGGTTAACACATGGATATGTGTTAAATGGCTTTTTTTCCCCCCAACATAGTCAAGGTTCATGCATTACATTTACCAATCTAGAATGTTTCCCAGTTATCTTCCTCTACCTACCACTTTGCTCTGTTCTTCAGGACAGTGACTCATTTCAGGAGTCCTGGCCAGGCATGGTGACTTATACCTATAATTCCAGTGCTTTGAAGGGCCAAAGTAGAAGGATCACTTGAGATCAGGAGTTTGAAATCAGCCTGGACAACATAGTGAGACCCTATCTCTATAAAAAAATTGAAAATTATCTCAGTGTGGGTCACGGCACAAGCCTGTAGTCCCAGCTGCTTGGGAGGCTGAGGCGGGAAGATCACTGTAGTTGAGGAGTTTGAGGTTACAGTGAGCTATGATCTTTGCACTCCAGCCTGGGCAACAGAGCAAAACCCTGTCTGTGTCAGGGAAAAAAAAAAAGAGTCCCATCCAATGCCATTTGTCCCCACACATGATGCACCACATTCTAGATGTGTCTACTTTCTCATGGTTAGATTCAGAACAAAGACTTCTAGCAAGAACA